ACCTGCTGGTTGAATTAGGACGATAGTGAACGAGTTTAGTTTTTGAAGTAGTTATTTGGATTCGCTATTTATCGCACCAATTAGCAACACAGTCCAGCATACACTGCATCGAGTCTTTGTCTGGGTCTAAAAGAGCTATGTCATCTGCATACAATAATAAACTAACTATCTGTTATCAATTGTAATACCACATTTAAAGTTATTAATGTCTTAAACTAAATCGTTAATGAAAACAGAGAATAAAGTAGGGGATAGGATACAGCCTTGTTTTACACCACTGTGAACTACAAATTCATCAGATAGATACCCGTTTACATTTATAACAGATCGATTATTTTCATACAGAGATATTATATTATTATAGAACTTTCCTTTCACACCCAGCTTCCTTAATTTGTACCATAGACAGTCTCTATGAATTCGGTCGAAGGCCGTCAAGGCATCAATATAACATATAAATGTACTCTTTTTGGATACTTTTCTGTTATTTACAATAGTGTAAAGAGTATAAATATGCTCTAGTGTGCTCCTCTCTTTGTGGAACCCATTCTGTTCATCAGCAAGAAGGTTGTTTGCTTCTAACCAATTGAAGAAACCAGAGTTTAAGATTTCGGCATATAGCTTACACGGAATGGAGATTAGGGATATGCCTCGATAGTCAAGGTGGGTGCGGGGATCAGTGTCTGATTTACTGATGGGTTTGATTATACTTTTTCCATAAGTCGGGAATAACATGATTTTCGAAACAAAACTTGAAAATGCAATGACTATTTTTAAAAACTTCGGCAGGAAGACTATCAATGCCTGTGGCCTTACCACATTTTCCTTTGTTGACTGCGGAGATTACCTCACCCCATCGAATTAGTGCGTTTAGATCACTACAGTCTATACCATATTATTATTGGAAACAGATAATTCATTTTGAATAAAAAAACTAAGTGGTTATCATCAAATAGCATATCATTTTTACAGTTATATAATGATTCATAGTCGGGTTTCCATTTCTCTAAAACATTTAATTTATCACGAATAACGCCTTCATCTGTAACACATTCCCATGGAATTGAGCCTTGTCTATCATTCGATATGCCTATCTTACCAATCATCTTCTGGAAGTCACGGAGTCAATATGTTTACATTTATCTAACAACTTTTGTTGTTCACTTAATTGGTATGATCTCTTTAAATGTCTTAATTTATCAAATGGCTTTCTTTCTGTAATAAAAGTTTGTTTGAAAGCTTTCTTCAGACAAGGCAATTTACAAATTTACATTTTAACCACGCTTTTTCGCTACACACGACGATATTCCATTGACGTTGCAAATTATCACACCAATAGGGTTTGTATCTTGATTTTGACTTATAATTCTTGGAGTTTATTGGACTTTTTCTGACCTGCAACTTTATCAAGTTCATGTTGTAGAGAGAGAGAGAGAGAGAGAGAGAGAGAGATAAAATGGGGTTAAACGTCCACTCGACACAAACTAGGTCATTTCGGAACTAACATATGGCTTAATTTTATTTCAATAATTCGCTTGCGCATAGGGGTCTTTAGCAGTGGGAGGAAACCGGAGGACCCGGAGAAAACCAGGCGATCCTACTCCTTGTCACGTACAACCGGGGATTCGAAACCACGCCAGTCGACTCAATGACAGATTTTATGATACAGCGCGCGCACGCTAACCATTCAGCCATTCAGCCATCCAACCCCCCCTCATGTTGTATAAACACGACAAAATCCTTGTAAGCACAAGTAACATTTTTATCTATTTCAAATTTGTTTTCAATAATTGTATCTTTGACTTTAAGTAGAATTTCACTGTTTGAAAGAAAATCACCAGTTATATTTTCTTGTTTATATTGTTTTAGAACAGAGTTTGTGTCATTATCATATTCCGCTAGATCCTCATATAAAGTATTTGTTGGAGCTGTTATATTCCATGGTAAAATCGAATGATTTGGTATAACATCAGGCATATTTTGTCCATTCACCAGATTAGACATCTTAATCATTTTAAAGTTTCGTGAGTAGTGATGACGTAATCAACCATTAACCTCCCATTTTTGCCATTAAGAATACAGAGATTACTGTTAACTAAGAAATCTATGAGTAGTCCTCCTTACAAATTCAGCGTGTAACCAATTACCCCCCATTCTGATATGTTGTCAATCCCTTGAATGAAATCACACTCCAATGCGCGATTTCAAGTCTCCAAAAATACACAATAAATCCTCTTATTGATAAATATAGAGTTTTCTAAAAGGGTTCATAGAATTGTTCACCATCAATAATTCTACTCGAACCAACAGGGGGGGTAACACACACATAATATAATTTTAAAACTGGGCTCTGCAATAGATGTGAGCCTAAACCAGATTATATCGTCTGTTTTGTTATCTCAAATATCAATGTTATATTGTAATAAAACGAATTTTTAATAAAAGCACCAACACCGCCAGATCCACGTTTCACTCTTTTGTCAATAACGCGTCTATTGTTACCGAACCATTTAAATCGGTCCACATGAAGTTCATCATTATGTCTGAGGAATGTCTCGCAAACCCCAAATATATCACAGTCAACATTTCTTAAAACAACCTCCCTAAATAGTTTATTATTTTATTGCCGGTTTGACCAACCACCCACGTTCCAAAATCCCAGCCGCACCGAATCCAATTCCTTTTTTAAAACTAGCCGTTTACCATGAAATTGAAATTTCTGGTCAGAACCCAAGCCATGAATAAGGGTCTGTATATTTGAACGATATGACAATTCTTGTCGAGACAGAGCATTGTTAAAATACACATTTTTAAAATCAGCAGTATTGCGCAGTTCATTTTTAACTGACATCAATTTTATTTGTTGTGAACTGTTTTCCAATGTAGCAATAATCAAATCAGGACTGTTACCATCGCGCGATTTTTTCCTTACGGCTTTCACAACATGAATATCTGTTAGTTTAATACTATCACATATAATTCTGTTCACTGCTTCACGTGTAGTCTCGGGATTATCGGATTCGTCAGATGTTGTAAGGACATTTTTAACAACAACAGTACATTCCAAATGTGGTCCATGATTTAAACTGCTTACGGGTTTAGACAACCTTTTTCAATTTCGTCCATGTGTTTTTTTAACATTTGATAATCTACCTACAGTCCCTTCATTTGTAATTGACTGAATGTTCTTCAAATGTCTTACTTTCTATTTGTTGATTAAAATCCTTTCTGATTCCCTCTGTCTCAGCTTTCAGTGTCTGTTTATTTTCTGGTAACTCTAGATTCCATCTCTTTCAGTTGACACCCAAACGATTCTTTCAAACTATGAATAGCTCTGAGAATTTCCAGGTTGGTAATACTGTTTTCAGTCACCATTTTATCATTTCTATCTTCACTGTGATGAACTAAATCATCAAAGTCTTCAGAAATACTTTGGTTTTTTTTTTACTTTTTAGCAGATGACGATCGACAGGGATCTCTAGAATCTTTAGACTCAGGTCGCGTTTGAGCCATCACTTCGTCAACAAATTGACCGCTGTCCTCCATTCTTTATAATCACACAAAATCAGTAAGCTTCAATAATGCAATCGTTATAGTCTAAAATAATTACTAATCCATAAAATAATATTTAAAATACCACTAAAATATACTGGATAGACTTTGTACATCAGATTAAAATTCTAAAATTGTACGATGGACGGGATATACATAGATTACTAATTTTAAAAATTCAAATTTTCCCTCCACTAAAATCACCCACATTCCACAGCCATCAACAACACCAACACCTTCTTTTTACCTGGCAACTTTCTCTGACTTTTTGTCTAGAATCAGTGAATACATTTTCGGTGATATTTTGGTGAAGATTCGTGATTTTGTGGCGAAAGGACCAGAAAGTAAAAAGACATGGGATATGAATCAATTAAAGAAATCACAACATAATTGAGTTTAGAATGTCCCGTCAATGTTCTAAAGTTCACCGCTGTGATGTATTGATTTAAGCATCAAACGTATTCCAATTTTTTTTTATAATCGTATTTCTTTTAATAAAGATAAGTTTGCCGTGTAACAATACGGGCGTCATGTGTCCGTTCAATGTTCATCGCATCAATAAACAATTTACATAATCGATCGCAATATAATAGATTGATATAAAATACTACTTCTTAATATACAAACATACAAACATCTGTTCATATTAAACCACACTATAAAATTACACTGTAAAATTTGTGACTTTTATGTAAAACCATCACAGTTGGCTGAATGATTTACCGTATGTATAAGTAATTGTGGAAATTTTTATTTAAAAAATGGTTACAAGTGTGGTGGTTTGTTGAGAATAGTAATTTAATGTTAAATAAGTCTGTAAACAGTAACACGTGGGTGTTAATTTGCTCTTTTACTTTATTAATTGTTCTCGTGTTCCATTGATATTGACTAATACTAAATGGTATTATCGTATTTTGATATATGCGGGTTAATATGGGGATGTAGGTGTGAGAGTGGTTAGTTTAAATTAAGGACTAGGATGCACTCTACATTGGCAGCGTCGTTAAAAAGTTGGATAAAATTCACCAAAGAACGACTGCTGTTTGAATAAGCAAATTAATTATATCATGCTGGCAATTTGTATTTTCCTTTATTCTGCCACAGAAACAATTGTTCATATTGGGAACTACCACAAAGCGGAGGGATCACGAACACCAATGCATTCGCATTAAACGACGGAATTATTGAAACGCGATATGGAATCTATGGATTTACAATTAAGACTGTAATTACAGACTTTTACCCCCTGTCTGTAATTTCAGGAACAGTTTGACAATCATTTCTGCCATTGTTTAATATGTAAATTTACAGTGTTTTTTTTTTTTTTTTCTTTTTTTTTTTTTACAGGGCGGGGTAATAATTGATCAAAACATATCTTATAAAATATATACAAGCCACACATTTACGTTTCTTAATATTGTGAATGATCTCTTGTGTCATTTCTCATGTTGCCTCTGGTATAATTCATGTAAGGGATGTAAAGATTAGAGAAATATTAAAATGTTAAAATGCAGAACCACAAATATTTTCATATTAACTTACTGTGGGAAATAATATGTGGATATTATTCCAAACCTTAATGTTGTTTTATTATCTACTAGAGTAAGTGTGGAAGAACTGATGAAGGTAAGTAAAACATTCCAGTCTAAACGGAAATGGGAAATAATTTTGGGCTCTTTTTTAATATGCATATCTAAAATTATGTACTATGTTGATATAAAGACTACGGTTATGTAATGAAGCGCATCCAAGTAATCTAAAAACAAGTATGCGCTTACCATATGAACCAGGAACCGAACATGACCTTATCGCAGCCCTCTTGGAATTGTGAAAAATCCAAATCCCTCTTTCGATGTATTGCACAATTAACACGGATGCCACATTTCATGTTGATCGGACTCGAATTGGCAGAGACTTGGGCCTGTTTTGAACAAAACAAGAAGACGATTAGGAAGTTATGGAACCAGTTCCTAGTTAAAAAGAAATAAACATCATAACGTTCACGACATAACAAATTATACGTATATTTAATACAAACAGTTCACATAAGGGGTTGGTTTCATTTTCATGTGGACGTATATTGTCGTCGCCTCTGTCTGCCCGGACGTCCGTATGTCTGGACGTCCGTCCGTCCACAATTGTTTGTGGACTCTCTACAGGTCACAATTCTTATCCTATTTTGACGAAACTTTCGATATTGGCATGTATCGGATCGAAACTTCATGGATTATGGCCCCTGATTGTACGAAAAATCACGTTTTTAGCTTGTGGACCCTATAGAGGTCACAATTTTGAACCGATTTTGATGAAACTTGACATGCATGTTTATAACCCAAAGATCTTGGTTCCTTTCGATATTTGCGCCCATCGAAACGTAACTGCCTGAATTATGGCCCCTGATTTTCTGAAAAATCGCCTTTTTTAGCTTGTGGTCCCTCTGGAGGTCACAATTATTATCCGATTTAAAAACCCGTTTGATTGAGTTCGAATCTCGTGAAAATCGGACCATAATTGCCGCCCTTTGTACGCGAATAGTGTAAAAATATGGTATATCAAGGTTGTGGACAGAGGTCACAATTTTAATTCGATTTTGATGAAACTTGAAATGCATGTTTATAACCTAAAGATCTTGGTTCCTTTCGATATTTCCGCATATCGGATCGTAACTTCCTGAATTATGGCCCCTGATTGTACGACAAATCGCCTTTATTAGCTTGGGTCCCTCTGGAGGTCACAATTATTACCCGATTTCAAAACCGTTTGATTATATCACCGTTACACTGTAATAAAAGTTCAGTTCGAATTTCGTGAAAATTGGACCAAAATTGTCGAACAAAATGGCCGCCCCTCGTACGCATATAATGTAAACATCTGGTATATCAAGGTTGTGGACCCTCTGGAGGTCATAATTTTGTGCCGATTTTGATGTAACTTGAAATGCATGTTTATAACCCACAGATCGTGGTTGCTTTCGATATTCGCGCATATTGGATTGAAACTTTGTGAATTATGACCCCTGATAGTACGAAAAATCGCATTTTTAGCTTGTGGACACTCTAGAGGTCACAATTTTGATCCGATTTTGATGAAACTTAAAATGCATGTTCCTGTCGATATTTGCGCATATCGGATCGTAACTTCCTCAATTAGAGTCCCTGATTGGTCGAAAAATCGCATCTTTTAGCTTGCGCATTCTCTAGAGGTCACAATTTTTTTTTTCGATTTTAAAAACCGTTTAGATAACTATTCCACCATAATGAATGTTGAATTGAAATTTTTGGAAAATCGAAATGAAACTGCCGACAAAATGGCCGCTCTTTGTATATAAATTGTATATAAGTATGTAATTCAAAGGTTATGGGCCCTCTAGAGGTCACAATTTTTATCCAATTTTGATGAAACACAAAACATATCTTTATATTCCAAAAATCTCAGTCCCTTTTGATATTTACGCATTTCAGACCATAACTTTCTGGTTTAAGGCCTCTGATTGTACAAAAAATCGTTTTTGTTTTTAGCTTTTTCTCTATCCATCTCTTGCAAAATGTGGGCGTATCCTGCCTGGCAGCCGCTGGTTCATACATACTATCACTACGCTAATGTAACTCAGAATCCCAAAAGGATATGTTACAGAACTATAACAGTTTAACTATATACAATGATTAAAGTATTTGAAGGGAACTATAGTTTTGTTTATTTTGTTTAATGCAGTTTATAAGTAGACTGATATTGTTGGTGACTCTTATTGTTGGATTAGTATATCTGCGCTACATCTTAGAAGATACACACCAGGATCAGACATTTCCACCATTATGTACAGGATATAACCCTTCTGTCAAACCACAACCAAAATACAATATCTTCAAACTGGTAAAGTATTTATAGCTATATTGTTTTATAAATACTGTTTGAATTATTTGGAACTTTTTGCTAGTGATAACTTTGCCACATTCGTTTTTATAGACTCTCTGTACATCTCTTTGTCGGAAGCAGGGATTGTCAAAGACAAGACTAATTGCATTGTAGATTTGTAACTCCCATAATTTTTTTTTAGTTCAATTGAATTAGAATTAATAAAAATAGGCGTGTTGTAAAAGCCAAAGGATGTCCCAAACCATCGTTTTTAGCTGATGAGCACGATACAATCACAAATAAGGACTAAGATACGAAATAAACATACAGAGATGTAACAATATAAGATACTACATGTACTTATCATGTCCAAAAATGGTTACATTTGGAATGGAAATATTTCAAAATAAAAACTGCTAGCACTATGAAATGGAATACCGCTACATTGAATCGAATGGTATAAAGCCACTTTGTCAAGATAATTATTTCACTTATCCATTATTTTGGAATTTTTATAAAATCATTTAAATTTTGGAAATGCATATTTATAACACACCTTTCCTTGTCGGTAACTTTTTGAATACTTTTGGTGCTATGGACAACAAACGGTCCGGTCTGTGATTAGTAGTGCCGACGGTACAATTTCATAGTTGTCACCGAAGAGTGACTGTGAATTTTGGAGAAATGAAATGAAATTGGGTTTAACGTCCTACTATTCTGCACCGATTGGGCTTATGAAGACCGACATACGCAAATTTTGCACTATACGGCGGCAGTGTGAAGTTAAATCGTGTTTCGTTATTCGTTATTGGCGACGGGCATACAGTGTTCTATGAGGGAAATTTTGCCTTCAAAAGGCACTATTGTAGCACCACGGGTCATTTTAGACGTGGAGAGCAGCAGACGGGAAACCATTCGCCACATCCGGCGTATAACCCATGCATCGTTTCTTACTACATATTTTGGAACAGCCCTTGATCGTTTAGGGATTGGTTGACTCTGGACTGGCTACTGTTGTATCCCTCTTCTTAAGGACTTCACCATTGTGTTTTCTTACGATAACAGGAACAACGCTAGTTTTTTTCTATACGTTTTTATGTCACAACAGTTACACAATAGTTTACATTACAATATTTAAAATTAACATCTCTTTTTCCCAACCCCACTCCTGTAAGTCTAACCAGCGTGGCTAGACCCAGGAAACCACTACATCGTGAAATGGTCATCTAAAGAACCCAATGCGTGTCTGTCTCTTTTAGCACTCACTCTCTGTTTTATGGGTACCTATATTCTGTTGTCTGTAGTATTTACGTAAATGACTGATAACAGCTAAATACACCCCAATCTGGATACTGACAGGGATTATTACCTAATTTGGTCAACAAATATGATATATGTTTTATAACAAAGAAAAATGTAAATAACCAACATGTTCATTAATCTATAGCTCAATTAACGTATCAAAATAACCAGCATATACATTCTATATTTTTGGTTATGAAGTTAGAATCAATAATATTGTTCCAGCCATCATATTTCTCCATTCTTTGTCTTTAGACCCCATGTTCTGTTACTGTCACAATATTTCATAAACAATTTAATTTGCGTTTCATAATTAACTTATACCATATTTTGGCAATGGAGAATAATTAATCAAAATCATAATATTATTTTACTTATTATGTGTTCTGTGGCACATATCCCTGCCATCCATATTACAACACTATACGACGGCAGTCTGAAGTTAAATCGTGTTTCGTTATTCGTTATTGGCGAATAACGAATAATAAAACAGAAAGTGTTTCATTATTCAGAATTGAAAATTTTAATAACGGATAACTAGTGTTTCATTATTCAGAATTGAAAATTTTAATAACGGATAACAAGACAGAACGTGTTTCGTTATTCGGGATTGAAAAAAAAAATCTTAGAAATTTCATATAATCGTTGTCCATTTGTCAAGTAAACTGTGTTTTTCATTTAATTCACTTCTAAGAAGGATGCCTCCACAGTATATAAAATGAAATTGGGTTTCATGTCCTACTCACAGTTTTTTTTTAACGTACATGGGACCTCCTGGTTAGCGAGCCAACGCCTTACTCACTGAGCCACCGTTGCTCCTAATTGACTTCTAAGAATGATGCCTTGGCAGTAAACAGCTCCCCTTTCACGACTATGCAATAAAACAATCCATTTTATTGTTCGAGCTTGAATAACGAATAACGATTCAGAATGTGTTTCGTTGTTCGGAATTCATATAAAATTATTACTTTTTCTTAGAAATTTCATATCACTATTGTCCATTTGTCAAGTAAACTGTTTTTTTTTTTTAAATGTAATTGCCTTATAAAAAAAGATTTCTCAGTAATAAAAAAAAACACCCTTTTCGTTTCTGTGTCATAAAACAATCCGTTTTGCTTTCGAGCTCGAATAACGAGACAGATCGTGTTTCGTTTTCGGGATTCAAATACAATTATTATTTTTTCGTAAAAATTTAATACTATTTTCGTTATTCAAATAAAATTATTATTTTTTCGTTAAAATTTGATACTATTATTGTCCATTTGTCAAGTAAACGTGTTTTTCATTTAATTGACTTATAAGGATTCCTCGGCAGTACCCCCCCCCCACTCTTTTCACTTCTATGTCATTAAACAATCCATTTTGCTTTTCGAGCTTGAATTACGAGACAGGGCCTGTTTCGTTATATTCGGGATTCATATTTTGAATAACGCGACAGAACGTGTTTCTTTATTCGAGATTCAAATAATGATTATTTTTTCTTAGAAATGTCAAATCGTTATTGGCCATTTGTGAAGTAAACTCTTTGTTTTATTTATTTAATTGATTTGTAAAAAGGATGTATAAGCAGTATAAAAAAAAGTCCTTTAACTTCTGTGTCATAAAACATTCCATTTTGCTGTTCGAGTTTGAATAACGTTTAACGAATAACGAAACAGGAATTGTCTGTTTCGTTATTCGGGATTCAAATAAAATTGTTATTTTTTCTTAGAAATTTTACATCATTGTTGTCCATTTGTCAAGTAAACTGGGTTTTCTTTTAATTAGGCACGCATGACCCTACTCCATTTCACGTACAATTATGGATCGAAACCACACCACTTGACTAAATGACAGAGCTTATGATCTAAAGCGCACATGTTAGACTAGCCGATCCCCAACAGTGATATACAATTCGTAAGAAAACATAATAATTTTGAAGCATTCCAAAATAATAAAACACATTTTCTGTCATGAATCGTTATTCATACTTGAAATACAAAATAGCCTATTTCATGACACAGAAATAATAAGAGTTTTTTTACTGCGGAGGCATCCTTCCTATAAGTCAATTGAACAAAAAAGGCCATAGTTTACTTGACAAATGGACAACGATGATATGAACTTTTAAGAAACAATAATAATTCTGTTTCTATCCCGAATAACGTTATTGAAGCGCGAAAAACAAAATAAATAGTTTTATTTACTGTTTCTATCTAGTCTCGTAATTTTTTATTCGCCAATAAAGAATAACGAAACACTATTTAAGTTCACACTGTCCTATACGCCCTACTCTTTATTTCAAATTCCAACTGTTAATGGTTCGTTTACGTGCACTATACGTGCGAGTGTAGGACAGCATGTGTTGTGTAGATCCCTTCGTTGGGTTTATACGTGTGTGACTGACAGTGTGTGTGGGTTTGTGACTTTGGTTCCTTAATTTGTTTAAAGGTTGATTTAACGCTTTGTTTGTAATTCCTTTTTCTTAAATAAAATAAAACCAAGTACGAACAATCCAAACCATAAGACAGAATTCGAAGTCATAAAAAACGTTATAGGCAAAATAGTGTATTCAAGCAAAATAGTGTAATCAACAAATGGACTGCTCCTCGTGTACAAAATACACGACAAACGGTGGTAACAGGTGTCCGGAAGAGTAAGCTTACCCTGCCTGGCGCCACACCCGCCATAGCTGCATCCAAACTATTAGGCGAAATCTCGGTAAAATAAAATTATTATGATTTATTTAATCATAAAATTATTTATGATTTATAATGTGAATTCTTTGCTTTCGTAGCGCAATATAAGTGCAATGTTTCTGAAATCAATGAAAAATGATATTTTCTATAAACATTTAATACATAATAATGGCATATCTGTGAATTAATCCATCCTTAAATGTATCCTCTGAGATGACATAATTTTGGGATGATTTAGTCAAAGATTAAGTACAAGTCAACGTTTCAGGACATCACATTTTATGGTGTTCTTGAAAAGTGATTAACTAAATGATTATGCTATTCAAAATTTATAACAATTTAGTCTAAAATTTAACAAGCTTTTAAGAGTATGTCTGGTCAGAAAATCAGAAATGAAATCTCGGATTAGCACTAATCTACTTTCGAAAATAACATTAAAAGCCAGAAAAAAGACATGCAATAAGCAGATTTAACTCTAACATAATGCATCTTTAATGACGATAAATTGTTACTGCAATCTTAAGTAAAGCCAATTGGTAAAATTTATTATCCAAAATAAACTGCTGCATTTTTCTTTTAAAAGGGCCCATTCAAATATTTAGACAACTATAAAAATCCATGTTGGAGAAATGATCAAAAGAAGGTCCAGTGCTTACCATATTTTTATCTAGCTGGTATGCCTAAATGTGGTACAACTGACCTGTATGATAAGATTATCAAACACCCGGAGATAGCTCCATTACAAAAATCAACCGGATACCACTGGATTACACGTCATAGATTTAGAGGTAAGGGCATCCACAGTGTCTGTCGACTAATTAGCATAATATGCGAACTGGGAATCATTTGAACATAATTTATAAATGACAATATAACAGTTATCAATGTTATTAAAGTCACCCATCAAGTTTTGACCTTTCTATTGTAAACTACCGGGCAAAAGAAAGCTGACACTCCGTGTACATGTTCCATAAAAAGACAATTTTGATTTAAACTATAAATATTTGAGAGGAATAAGTTTCTAATGTCTGGAGCAAATATCAAAACATTAACAATAGTGTACTGGCCATAAGCCAGTGTTAAAGATCAATGGTGTCTGGAAAGGAGACAGTGAATCTGTTGATGGGGTGTCTCAATGTCTGCCGTTGCCGTCCCAGTCATGTACATGTCGGGATATAGCGATATTCAGCCGAAGATGTGACCCTCGACCTTCCGGATCTTGGTCGGTCTTGAGTTCGGCATGTTTGCTGAAACTACCGGAAAAGATTGCTGATAGCGATTGAACTGTAATGGAACGTTCTTGCAATTTGCCGTTGAGAAACCCTCACCTGTCCCATACCAATAGCCCCATGTCGTTCTTCTAGTGTTAATCTTCACATCTCTGTAGTATTTTTATTTTCATGCTGAATCATCGCTCTGCCCCCACCCCCAACAGATATTTATGCAACAAGCTTTATTTGATAGTTTTCATCTGCAATATACCTTTAATCCTGTGCATTTTTTTCAGAGGAAAATCCCGGTTTTAAATATTTTGTCAACTGTCGTCAACACGTTGTACCGTCCATTGAAAAACTAACAGTGTTGTACCCAAGAGATTCATCCCAGTTATATCACCCAATGATAACAGGTAGGTATGTATGTATATATATATGGTATTGCAGGTAGGTACGTATCGGACGACGAGATTAAAAGTTTGCAAATTTTTATGAATTTCGCCCGAACATGGACGCAGATAAAACCGACGGATGCATTGTACATAGTAGTTCACAGGATGTATATGTCGCATTGGTGAATGTTAGCGGGGAAAATTTTGGCAAGCTTTGTGACGCGGCCTGCAGGCTGGAGTCAAGCCATGAAACTATTCAATTGTTTTTTTTCAGACAAAGCATTCGTTGTAAAACCAATTCGGGGAGAGTTTGATTTAACAGATGTTACGTATTTTTGAAACAGGTCCCGAAGCGTTTTGGTTCTGTTATGCAAGATCATTTTCGACGTTCCAAAGTAAAAGTTCGGTGCTAAGACCACCCAAAGATAAATTTTAAATGATCCTATTATTAATAAGAACAGGTTTCGCTTTAGTTTTTATATTTTACGCTGACATTTATTACTATAAATCTTCCTAGTGCTAAAACGGAAAATGTGACCTTTTGACCTCTGTGGTCACAAAGAACACGGGTAAATTTTGCAAGTTTACATTTTTATTGAAAGTGTGATTACTTTCGATCATTTTCAGTGCAAATGAACCCATTTGACCTTTGAACCCGAATATCTCGAAAACGCCCAAACGGCGGACGGATTACCACTCGGTATCGTATTCTACGCAAAATTTTACTCTAGAAAAGTTGGATCTGGTTTTGTGCCCATTTGGTGGACACCCCCCCCCCCGCGCTGAGCCTCCAGACTATTATATATCACCATAGAAAGACTAGAGAAGATGTGGTAGTTTGGTTAGCTTATAATCCTATGGACTACCTTCCCTTAAAGGGATTTAAAATACAGATGTGACGTCATCCTTTGATGTTGGCGTACCATTATTTCAAATAATGGTACGGACAATGTGCCAAGCGTACATAGTTGCAATATTGGACCCGCGTGACGTATTTCACGTACGTGCTGGATGACCTGGCGCCTGGTACGTTCGGGCATTTTTATGCGCGAACTCTTAGGTTTTTTTTTTACTGGCACGCGCACAGGTACTATTTCTTTTTCTTTTAACAAGTACCCAAATCGGGGATTTCGTGCGGAGGTAGTTCGGAGGTAAACAGTCTGTGAAGTACAACATTTGCCACTGTACCTGTGTATCGCTAATTATAAACCGAATGTGTGAAGACAGTTCATACATATCACTCAAAAATTTTTCAGTACAAACTCAGTTGATTCACGCTCGATTTGCTACTAAACAAACCCATCGGTTTATTTTCTCAACAGTGTGACCCGAAGTGACCGCGGATTTATTGACCTTGTATGAACTTATCCATAGCTATATCCTTACACCGAGAGAAATTATGTAGTCTCGGTGAAAAGAACCATGGTCATCTGGTAGAAAATTACTTTTGTATTTTTTGGAACGGAAAACAGTGTTTTTAGAAGCAAACTAACCTGCCGCACATGAGGAAGTCATTATACTAATAATAAAAGGCGAGACCTCTTTTTGCGGCGCAGGCTTATCACTGAGTAGTAAACCGTGCACAAACAATAATATAGGAAGCCTAGTGACAGTGTAGTAAGTGGGCTATAGACTATATAGGTTTGAGTCGAGATTACTGGCTTTCAGTTTATTCTGTTTTTGCGATAACCAATTATGTGAGAAATACCATACTGACATTCGGTTTTTAAAAGTTGTACGCCAACTAAATGCGTTTGTTAGATACTGACAGAGCAGCCCCGAGTCGAACAATCGCCGCCCGAGCGGTCTTCGTCAGCTAGTTTCACAATATCGTGCAATAGGTGTATTAATGTGATTTTTAGGTTTAACCCCGCAAACAATGCCAAAATAGTGTTTTCACTGCTTACAGAAAACTGAAATTTAAAAAAAAATTTTTTATGAGGGTGACACTCCCTATCGAGCTGCCGCTCGGTCTGCGCAGCCTCATGCCTGGCACATACTGTCAACATTGTATATTTTTCCGTTTCCGCCCTTCCCCCCCACAATATATATTTCACGGCTACGTTGCGACGGTACCAGCATACCCAGTTGTTGACACCCATTACATCACTCCTGTCTAACAAATCATAAAGCTGTGGTGTTACGGTGGCGGCATAGTATTTCACCGTAACACCACAGCCACTCTAACCATTCATAATACATCTAACTATCCCTTTACAGCACTCCCTACACATTTCCCCTCGTCCTACTTTCCCAAACGTCAACAACACATCTCATACATCCAGTTCGCTGATTAACCCTTGTACCACGTCTACTGGATGACCTGGCGCCTGGTACGTTCGGGCATTTTTATGCGCGAACTCTTAGGGTTTTTTTTCACTGGCATGCGCACAGGTACTATTTCTTTTTCTTTTAACAAGTACCCAAATCGGGGATTTCGTGCGGAGGTAGTTCGGAGGTAAACAGTCTGTGAAGTACAACACTTGCCACTGTACCTGTATATCGCTAATTATAAACCGAATGTGTGAAGACAGTTCATACATATCACTCAAAAATTTTTCAGTACAAACTCAGTTGATTCACGCTCGATTTGCTACTAAGCAAACCCATCGGTTTATTTTCTCAACAGTGTGACCCGAAGTGACCGCGGATTTATTGACCTTGTATGAACTTATCCATAGCTATATCCTTACACCGAGAGAAATTATCTAGTCTCGGTGAAAAGAACCATGGTCATCTGGTAGAAAATTACTTTTGTATTTTTTGGAACGGAAAACAGTGTTTTTAGAAGCAAACTAACCTGCCGCACATGAGGAAGTCATTATACTAATAATAAAAGGCGAGACCTCTTTTTGCGGCGCAGGCTTATCACTGAGCAGTAAACCGTCCACAAACAATAATATAGGAAGCCTAGTGACGAGTGTAGTACTGTAAGAAGGCTATAGACTATAGGGTTGAGTCGAGATTACTCGCTTTCAGTTTACTCTGTTTTTGCGATAACCAATTATGTGAGAAATACCATACTGACATTCGGTTTTTAAAAGTTGTACGCCAACTAAATGCGTTTGTTAGATACTGACAGAGCAGCCCCGAGTCGACCAATCGCCGCCCGAGCTGTCTTCGTCAGCTAGTTTCACAATATCGTGCAATAGGTGTATTAATGTGATTTTTAGGTTTAACCCCGCAAACAATGCCAAAATAGTGTTTTCACTGCTTACAGAAAACTGAAATTTAAAAAAAAATTTTTTTATGAGGGTGACCCTCCCACACACTCCCTATCGAGCTGCCGATCGGTCTGCGCAGCCTCATGCCCGGCACATACTGTCAACATTGTATATTTTTCCGTTTCCGCCCTCCCCCCCCCACCCCCCCCCCACAATATATATTTCACGGCTACGTTGCGACGGTACCAGCATACCCAGTTGTTGACACCCATTACATCACTCCTGTCTAACAAATCATAAAGCTGTGGTGTTACGGTGGCGGCATAGTATTTCACCGTAACACCACAGCCACTCTAACCATTCATAATACATCTAACTATCCCTTTACAGCACTTCACTCCCTACACATTTCCCCTCGTCCTACTTTCCCAAACGTCAACAACACATCTCATACATCCAGTTCGCTGATTAACCCTTGTACCACGTCTACTGGATAGTGTCTGTATTTTTAAGTTGTTTAATGGTCTCGTGCAAGACATTGCGTAATATATAGATATTGCAGTCGTGCTATCGCACTCGTACAATATCAATATATTACTTAAAGGAGCTAAGTCGCTAATATTTGGGACCTAGAAATTGACACAAATGGGTCGCAACGCATACAATAATGTAATATGAATGTATATACATGTAAATTAATTTACATTCAATCGTTTCTGTTTTTGCTGTAATTTCTAATCAGTAAGGTTCGGCGAAAAACGCCAGTATTCTCAATCGAATTTCAATCTCTAGCGTCTGGTTATTCCAGTCTACGCCGATAGTATTTATTGGGGATGCTCTCCAGATAAGAATATATCGTCACCGTTTGACACGACTTGTGGAATATGCCTAGCCTCGTTTTTCGAGTCCCTTATTACAAATAGCACTGAAACTCATTATGGCACACGATTGGCACACGATTCGTGTACCAATTGTAAAATGTTTATTTTGACTTAAATATTGGACATCAGAAGGCCATGTTGATTTAAACCGACTAATAAATCATGTTTTCAATGTAGAAGATTTTGGATGATATTGAGTTAGAGACTTAGCTACTTTAATGTCTCGCACTCGACCATAAAACACCCCTATTTATTTGTCTCCCACAAGATCAATGTGTGTGTGTGTGTGTGTGTGTGTGTGTGCACACGTGCGTGTGTCGGGGGGGGGGGGATCTACCATGCAGATGTTACAGTCAGTGACATTATTTGATGTATACCAACTTGCTGTTTATACTCATGTAAATTTAATTTGAGACCTTTTTCATAAATCATAATTAGGCGATGCCGGGACGTCTACATTTTGGGATCATAGTCACTGGCCATTAGTGCCTGGTAATGAAAATTGTAGTAGCCCAAGAATAACCAACGCCATGATGCTTCACCACCTCTTCCCTGCCACCAAGATTATTGTTATTCTTCGTAACCCAACAGATAGGTGAGTGGAAATACAATAAAGAAAAGGTTTAATAAAACTTTATGTACTATAAGGTTGATGTACTAAACAATGGAAATGTCCGGAAGGTTAAGTAGTGCATCTTATAATAACCGAGTTGAGATAATAACAAATAGTTCAGTATTCAATATTAGGCTACCTTATGCTAACTCTTTCTTGAACCCCCGGGTGCAATTACGTGTAATGTAATGTAAGGCTAAATGAGTCAAACCGCGACACTGGTTAGCTATATACAACTTTTTGAAACCAAATGCTGCCATGTTTATCAATCCTGAGAAGTTCACAAAGCTTATAATTTTTTGTATAAACATATAATCATATTCGTACTTGGCCTATCCCTGGAGACAGAACCCTAACTTCACGTATCTCCGAGCTTCATTCAATCATACATAAAGGGTGCTGACAGGTCACTGAACTTCAAGGGCATTATAAACAACCCGGCCGTGGGTCTATGAATATTGACTAAAAGTGTTTTCTTTATGGTTATTTCAGACTTTATTCAGATTATGTATACTTTCGTAAAAATGTAAGCCAGGAACAGTTCCATGATTATTGTAAACAATCTATAATATTATTTAAAGAATGTGAAAAGAAACATGGAGTCAGATATTGTGTTCATAATTCATCTATAGTTAACCAGTTCAAGGTAACATAATATGCATATTAATTAAAAGGTCATTTTTTTTAATTATTCGCTATTGCTGAAATAAAAAAGGTAAGATCAATAAAGATAGCATGATTATCAATAAATATTACCAATATTGATATTACTAGAAATTATAAGGGCGGAGCGGCCCATACACGTTCAATTTTTTCGTCAATTAACGTGTATGGAGGACATTGACGGCGAATTAATTGAAACAATTTAATTGAATCAATTAATTGACGGATCAAAGTTCCTTTGATATTTATTGACGGCTCGTCAATTAAATAGACCGTGTGTGCTAGTGCCAGAGATGCTTTCATCTCGAAGTCTTCGATCAGAATGAAAATTGACGCTAAAACATTGATCGTGTGTGCATGGTCAATTTCGCCAATTTATTAATTGACAAAATAATTGAACGTGTATGGGCCGCTTAAGTGAGTAAGACGCTGGCTTGATAGCCTGGAGGTCGCGGGTTCGCTTCTGGTGTTGGCCGAGAAAGTTCATCGGGATTTTCAGGCGACGTTTCCTCTTATAAGTGGTGCAGGATAGAGGGCCTGACAAGGACAGCTGTCTTGTTGTTCGGGCAGGACGATAAACCGAGGTTCCGTGTACACATTGGCGTGCCCGTTGTGCCGCTGTCCGGCAAAAGTTCCCTTATAGCGCACTGTATGGCGTATGCCCGTCTTTATTAGCCCAGTCGGGACAGAACAGTAGGGCGTTAAACCCCTTGTCATTTCACTAGAAATGATCTATTCTATTCTATTTGTAAAATCTAAAATTTCCATCACGATGCAAAAATAATACCAACGATTTGTATAAACACTATTAAGTTATAATCTTCATCTAATAAATAGGTTTTTTTTACAGGTTAGGATCCACATTGGACTATATTCCATATATATGGCCGACTGGTTAGACGTTTTTCCTAGAAACCAAATTTTACCAATAAAACTTGATGATTATTCGAAAAATCCCACCAAAACATTCACAGAAATATTTTCGTTTTTAGGTGTTGGTAGGTGTAAATTTGATCGGTTTTATTTCGCCCATAATCAATCTGGTCTGCTACTGTCTTCACCAAAATCCGCCTGTTTGTCCGTCCGATTTCTTGCAATCGGAGATTCGCAGTGTATGTCAGGTCAAAGATTGTGTTTTTGGAAATCGAACTGGTCGTACTCGTATTGTTGTTTTACGGGAACTTTCCCTCTCATTGAAACATTCTAATACTTAAAGGGGCCCATACACGTTCAATAATTTTGTCAATATTATTGACCCAATATATTGACTCAATATATTGAATCAATAATATTGACAGGAATTGCCCACACATTTCCATCAATAATTTCATCATTTTTTGTTCATTTTTCAAAAAAAAGGATGCCATGTTTACTCTTCCAAGGCTGACGCAATTATTGACAGATTCTCCACACACGATCAATATTGTCATTCAATAAATTGACCGGCCGTCAATATATTGATAAACCATCAATAAAATTCAAAATGGTTTTGATCCGTCAATATATTGACGCAATGATGGTTATTGACAATATTTTACATCAATATAGCCCATACACGTTCAATATTATTGAGTCAATATATTGAGTCAATAATATTGACGGAATAATTGAACATGTATGGGCCCCTTTACACTACTTTACACAGAATGGGTATTTGCTCCATTCTTGAAATAAATATGATTTGTAAGAATGCACTTTGCCTGCCGAAATTCAGGTCAATCATTGCGTAGAAATAACTGGGCTTTACTAGTATATTATTCGTTTAAAGAGCGCTGGCCCATTTCCTCTCGTTGCATATTGTCCTTTAACTGGTTTTGTATACAAGACATGACATGCTTTTTATGTATACAACTCCCGGTGTATTTAAGAAGTTCACAAAGATGACAAAGATTGTTGTACTTTTAACAAATTTTATATAATTTTTCAGCTTCGTTGAATCAAGAAGAAATACAGAAGATTATTGACGGGGCGAAGAAAAATGTAGGAACCAGAAAACAGAATATGGGTGCAATGAAATCTGAAACGAGAACAATGTTAAATAAGTTTCATGCGCCTTTTAATAAGGTCATGGCGGTTCAAATGAAAGATGAAACATTTCTTTGGTTACGTGAATAGTGGTGCTTCATCTTTTCCTAAAATTGTATTGGTGGTCATATTAAATTCCTTCTGTCAGTTCTAGAAGCTGCGAATCGCTTTTACGGATCTCTCATAGCAAGAAATTTTATATTTTATAATCCACCGAATGGGCATGCAATGTGCCAAATGGGGAATTTTTCCCTGACAGCAAATTCCAACAATAAAGTGTTATTTTACGTGCACGCAAATGTGTACGCAGAACTTCGGGTTTTGGTCCCACCCGAACAACTAGATATTGTCCTTGTCAGGCCCTCTACCCTGCGCCACTAACAAGGGGAAACCAAGCCGGAAAATCCCGAGGAGCTTTCTCGGACAACACTGGGAGCGAACCCAGGTTAGCAAGCCAGTGTCTTACTCACGGAGACATTTTATGTTTCGAATCGTTCAAAATTTTCATTCTGGGGATTAACAGTCGGCTGTATAAAGGTGAAAACTAACAGTCGGTTGTATAAAAGTGAAAATTAAAATAGTAAACTAACTGACGTTAGATAAATCTTCTGAAGCAAACAATTAAAAGGACTAGCTTCAGCAATCACTAATAGAAATAACATTTATATAACATGTTTATATAACATTTCTGGCTGAAAGGCAAAGTGAATTTGGCATGTTATAAGGGATTCGGGATTCGCGAATACCGTGCTGGCTCGTTATTCGGGATTCGCCAATAGCGAATAACGATCCAGCATGTTATTCGGGATTCGGGATTCGCCACTAAAACAGACCAGTCTACCTTCCATCCGACCATTTCCTCGTTACCTCCGACCCTAGGAGTAAGTGAACGTCGGGTGGCCGACTAGCACGGAGACGGCAGCATCTCAAGCGAGTAGGGTGCTGACTGGTTTGTTGGAGTGCACGGGGTAGTAAGTGCCGACTAGCAAGGAGACGACTGTTTGTCGAGCGAATAGGATGTTGACTAGTTTGTTGGCGTGCACTGGGCAGTCCTCTCCTGCACTCACCTGTTTTATTGTCGAATCCCGAACGAGCCAGTACGTTATTCGGGATTCGGAAGTAAAACAAGACCGACCTTCCTCCCATCCGACCATTTCTTCGATACCTCCGATCGTAGGGATAAGTGAACGTTGCGTGGCCGACTAGCACGGAGACGAAACGTCTGTTATACGAAAAGGGTGATAACTGGTTTGTTAGAGTGTACGGGGCAGTCCTCTCCAGCAATCACCTGTTTTATTGCCGAATCCCGAATAACGTGCTGGCTCGTTATTCGGGATTCGCGAAAAACGAATAACGAACCGGCAAGTTATTTGGGATTCGACACTAAAACAGAACGATCTATCTTGCATCCTACCATTTCCTCGTTGGGTGACCGACTTTCACAGAGACGACTGTTTGTCAAGCGAATAGGGTGCTGACTGGTTTGTTAGAGTGCACCGGGCAGTCATACTACCATTTCCTCGTTGGGTGACCGACTAGCACGGAGACGACAGTTTGTCAAGCGAATAGGGAGCTGACAGGTTTGTTAGAGTGCACGGGGCAGTCATCTCCAGCAGTTACCTGTTGTTGTTTTTGCCGAATCCCGAATAACGTGCGGACTCGTTATTCGGGATTCGCGAATAACGAGCCAGCACGTTATTCGGGATTCGGGATTCGCCACTAAAACAGACCGACTTGCGTTGCATCCGACCATTTCCTTGCTATTCGGGATTCGGGATTCAGCAATCAAACAGATGATTGCTAGAGAGGACTGTCCGGTACACTCTAACAAACCAGTTAGCACCCTACTCGCATAAAAAAACGGTCGTCTCCTTGTTAGTCGGTCACCCAACGTTCACTTACCTCTTCGGTCGGGGGTGCAAGGAAATGGTCGGATACAAGGTAGGTCGGTCTGTTTTAGTGGCGAATTCCGAATACCGAATAACGTGCTGTGCACTCTAACAAACCAGTCAACACCCTATTCGCTCGACAAACAGTCGTCTCCTTCCTAGTCGGCCTCCCAGCATTCACTTACCCATACAGTCGGGGGTATAGGGATGAAATGGTCGGATGCAAGGTAGGGCGGTCTGTTTTAGTGACGAATCCCGAATAAAGTGCTGACTCATTATTCGTTATTCGCGAATCCCGAATAACGATCCAGCACGTTATTCGGGATTCGGAAGTAAAACAGGTGATTGTTGGAGATGACTGTCCCGTGCACTCTAAGAAAACAGTCAGCACCCTATTCGCTTGACAAACTGTCGTCTCCGTGCTAGTCGGTCACCCAACGAGGAAATGGTCGGATGCCAGGTAGATCGTTCTGTTTTAGTGGCGAATCCCGAATCCCGAAAAGCGTGCTGGCTGTTTATTCGTTTTTCGCCAATAACGAATAACGAGCCAGCACGTTATTCGGGATTCGGCAATAAAACAGGTGATTGCTTGAGATAACTGCCCCGTACACTCTAACAAACCAGTCGCTTGACAAACCCTACTCGCTTGACAAACGGTCGTCTCCGTGCTAGTCGGCCACTCAACGAGGAAATGGACGGATGCAAGGTAGATCGTTCTCTTTTAGTGGCGAATCCCGAATCCCCGCTTGAGGAAATGGTCGAATGCAAGGTAGATCGTCCTGTTTTAGTGGCGAATCCCGAATAACGTGCTGGCTCGTTTTTCGTTATTCGGGGTTCACGAATAACGTTAATCGGTATTCGGCAATAAAACAGGTGATTGCTGGAGAGGACTGCCCTGTGCACTCTAACAAACCAGTCGTCTCCTTGCTAGTCGGTCACCCGACGTTCACTTACTGCCCCGTGCACTCCAACAAACCAGACAGCACCCTACTCGCTTGAGAGGCTGCCGTCTCCGTGCTAGTCGGCCACCCGACGTTCACTTATCCCTAGGGTCGGAGGTAGCGAGGAAATGGTCGGATGGAAAGTAGACCGGTCTGGATCGTTATTCGTTATTGGCGAATCTCAAATAACGAGCCAGCACGGTATTCGGAATTCGAATCCCGAATAACGTGCCAACTTCAATTGCCGCCTAAAGAAGGGCGTCTCTTGTTGGTCATCATTAACCAAGTACTGTCGTTTACATGAATATATATTGTCCTGTTATATTTCATATTTTATCATTGCTTGATAATGACTAGAGAAGCCTAGATGAAACGTCGCACAGTAATAAGCAGTAATTGTATTCCATTAAATTGTGATCTGTATATTCCAGTTCAATAAATAAATGCCATTGGAAAAATTTACATTTTATGGTAGGCTACATTGTATCTGTATGGTAATGTTTAAAAATTAAAGCCAACTGCGGGTTTCGTCAATGTCGTGAGATATAAACATGGCTAGGGCACGGGATATTTGACGAGATTGTGGGTTAAGATAAGAGCTAGGGCTTGCGTTAGCACTAGTAGCACTAGCCCTGTTTACATCTTGTGACTTTTGACCAAATCTGCAGTTTGCCTTAATTTTTAGACCTGACCGTATCTGAATTCGTTGAATTAAACCGGAGCGGTTGTTATGGCTCACCCATAGATTCTAAAAGAATTATGTATTTATTTTTAAAAAATCAACCTTATTGTTGTCTTTATCCTTAACGATATATTCCAATGCTTTAAACATACATTATGCACGAGCTAAATCTTCCCATTGCAAGTCTTTCTTTAGGCCTGAAATGTTATCTAAATTATTAATTATACATTAATTAACTTATCCAGACCATAATCAACTCTCGATGTAATCGCTAGTCTGCGATATTTACTGGATTGGGATTCGATTTGCTGCCCAACTTTCATTCATGATTTAATCATGAAATGGATAATCGAGACTATGTTTTTATCGTACCGATTTTAGTAACGATAATCAAAGCTAGGCCGAAAATTCAATCGCTGAATTCTCGGTTCAGAGTGGACCAATTTGACTGAAATTTTCAGCAAATTCTCATTACGTTATCCAGTTTTTAACTATTATAGTGAGAACTATCAGTTCTTTATCTAATCTCCCATAATGTATCTTTAATTATAACCATTGATTAGCAGATATACTCAAAAAGAGAAATAAATGTAGCTAAAAGCATTTGTCCCTTATAACAAATTTATAATTATTTTGTTGAAATGTTTATGACTTGAGTAAAGAAACCATCATATAAATCATAGATTTCGTTTTCGCTCCGTTTTTCGGGTAGTCACTAAGGGTAGCATAGGGATATGTTTGACCATGACAAGACAGCAAATCAAATGCCTTTCAAAAGATTCTGTGTAGACCAATCGCTTTCAGAGCATTGCCTACAAAGAAAGGGGTGCCACGGTGGCTCAGTGGATAGGGCACTTGGTCACTAACCAGGTGTTAGATCCCGGTGTTAGCCGAGAAAGCTCCCCGCTATTTTCCAGGGCGGTTTCCCCCTTCTCAGTGATGCCGGGCGGAGTCTGACAAGAAACAGTGTCTAGTGGTTCGGATGGGACGAATAGCCCAGAATAGAATCGAAAATGGCGACTTTTGTTCTTGTACATATTACTTGTAAAATAAGTTTTTTTGCGGTTACGGAATTCGATATTGGGTTCAAACATTATATTCAGATAAGACAGAAACATCAGGACATACTATAAAACACATCAATTACAGCCAGGGGTGGACCCTGGGTCGGTCGCCCTTGTTCCTTGCTCCGTTAGGGGTTCCCACTCTATGGGGGACCGGCGGGGTCCTCTCAAATCGGGTGCGAAATACTTTTTGAAAAAACTCACTGTGGTTAATGGTGTTTCTAGCTTATGCACATATTTAAGGTGTGGCATTCTTAACGATTTATCAAAAACGACATAAATTCATGACTAAAAGGGGACAACAAACTACCCAAGAACATTAACTAATTTAGGGACCCCTGAAACTACCATACTCCTTTCAGTCCATCCCTGGAACTGATACCACAAGGGCTGTAAACACGGATCACATAACCATTTCTGAACCAATATTAGGGCGCAAATTCGCAACAACTGGATATATCGAAGCCACTTTTAACCCCTGTGAAGATGGTTTAAAGACATATCAAATGTAGAAACAGAAATTGCACCTAATGAAAAGAATGTTAAACAGATTGGATTTCTTAAATTAATTTTTGAACCCAAAATAGAATTCAGTCACCCTGAAAACCTTATTAGATAAATTTTAAGAGCAATATCCACTGGGAAAAATCGCCATTATGGATTCTGTTTTGATTGCCGTTTTAAATTTATATCACCTGAGCTATTCAAAGTTAGTTTTGGGGTCGGAATTGAAGTCAGAAAACTCAAGACAAATTACAAGCCATATCCAACGGAAGAAAATAACAATTAATTAAAACTTCGCCAATTTGGATTTCGAACTTCATATTCGATATCAGAAATAACCAAATGACATCGAAAACCAAGAGAAAGACATGTTACAAGGCACATCCAACGGAAAAAAATGATGATTAAACTAAAATCCGCCATTTTGGATTTCATTTTAAATTTCTGACATGTTGGATTTCGAAATTCAGTTTTAAATTTATTCTTAAATTCAGAGCCACCCAAAACCATATAAAAGACATAGTAAAAGTCATATCTTACGAGATAGTTACTGGTTATATATGGGGACAATGTCATTATTTTATTGTCAGGCAAGTTTCTATTAACAGCGAATTAACACCCTGTTTTTAAGTGCCATTTTGATATACAAGAACTTTTCTTTATGTTTTTACAAAAAAATTTTTTTATTACTCCTTCATTGGTAAAAAAAAAAACTTAATTAAACCAACCTGTCCTTAATATCATACATAATGTATTGGACGTTAAATTTGTAATAAACAACAACAACAACATTAACATGCTGACTGGACTCTTGACTAATCACTCAGTACCATAAGCTACAAACAAACAGCACAGAAACATTTTTAACAGTGGACCTAATGACAGACTTAAATTTTGGGATGGGCATCTCAACATCACGAATGAACGTCTTCCATTGTTCGCTGCAGCGGGACATGGGCATTATGCCAAGTCTGCTCGACTATATCTGCAGCAAATGCGTGAACTTCCCCACACTCATCCAAATTTACATGAACTTTACGCGCAAAAAGGAATGCATGTAATACAACGGTCGGGTCATCCGTTCAATGGCTTACCAAACGATCTCTGTATCGAACAAACCGCCATGCGATCGATGAAAATTCGCAGTGGACTGACTCATGGTCGCGGGTTCACTGAAAGTGTGAGACAACAATTCGTCTATTGTAAACCTTTTATAATCGCGATGCACATGGCCATGTCAAATTTGACCGGTAAAGACCTACACACATCTGAACAGCATGTTGAATATGGAATTTCGCGTCGAGGAACAGACACCGACCATCTAATTAAATTGATCGATTGGTTTGATACAAACAATCCGTCCGATTGCGAAGTCTCCGACTTGCGGTCACTCTCGACTGGGTTGGCGTCCCAATCCGGGAACGGGATAAATTGTGATGACGCCGTAACTATCGGATATAAGATCCAAGAATCTCTTAACAACGTTATTTTTTCGGAAGCAAAGATCAGACGATCTAGTGTCGTGAAGACTCTGGATGACCTGAAGCCAGGTGTTAAAGTTCAAGGCAAGACAGTGCGAGTGCAACCAGAAGTTCTTTTTCAAAGATGTATTACGGTGGCACAGCGGACAGATACAGATATTCAACAGTTCTTCAAATATGAGTTGAGTGCCTTCCCGTCAAATGCTGTAAAAAATTTTGCTCAACTCCGATCAGCGGGGAAAAATTTTCTGGAACACTAGAGACATAGTTGTTTCAGAAAATGAAGAAATCATTTGGGTAGGAATTTCTTCCCACAAATTTTCTACCCTGACCAGACTATGTCTTAGGCATAATTTTATTGAAGTTTTCCGTTAATTCCTTGTCTTTTTGTCACATAGGAATTCAGTTTATACACATATCCACAGTTATCTTTTTAATTTGTAAACTTCTGCTCATCTTTTGGGTTAAATTTCATACATTTAGATTGAATGAGTCAATAAAAGCTGATAATTAACCACCCTCTGTAGGATAAGTGAAAGAAAAAAAAAAGCTAAAGATAGAAAAACCAAGTTTAAACCTATAATATGTGGTTGTGACCCACAAGATAGTATTTCCTCGGGAGATGAAATCTGGCCAGGTGCCTCCAGAGCAATTGAGTTATCGATGACAAGTGGAAGTTTGTTTCAGGGTCAATAAGTGGTCTCAGAGCAGAGCAGAGATGATGATGATTGGATTTTCTCAAGAAAACTAACATTGGTAACTGAATAGATTTTATTTCTAAGTCCAAAAAACCTAGAACTTATTCTCGACTGTGCTAAAATGTATATGTGTAAATGAATGGAACATATAATAATATATGTCCACAATAAATATGTGCATGAAAACAAAACAGGAGCTACAGATGTACATTTTCTATACAGATGTAACTATGCATTAAATTAAAGTTTAAAACATAAAATGGGTACTTAATAAATTTTAAACTTGGTATATCAATCAGGAATTACAAGAAATAAGAGACTTACAATAATAAATAATTCAATAAGAAATATCACAATATCTTTTATTATAGTCTCTGATGATCATTTGAGAGGTTTCTAGATCTCTTGCGAATTACAATATTGTAACCAGCGGCTGCCAGGCAGGATATGCCCACATTTTGCAAGAGATGGATAGAGAACAAGCTAAACAAAAAGTGATTTTTGTAACACCAAGGGCCATAATGCAGGATATGTGCTAATATCGACAGGAACCAAGATGTTTGGGTTATAAACATGCATTTCACGTTTCATCAAAATCGGATCAAAACTGTGACCTCTAGAGGGGTCCACAACCTTGATATACCAGATGTTTACAGTATTTGCGTGGGGGGGGGGGGGATTTTTTCTGGCAGTTTTGGTACGATTTTCATGACATTGTTACCTCTTGAGGGACCACAAACATAAAACGCGATTTTTCATACAATCAAGGGCCATAATTCAGGAGCAGCTAAGTCGTCCGCGCAGTCAACAAGAGTTGTTGCATATTTTTTCTATTGTCGGTAATGAAACATTTATAATACACTAAAATCTAATTAAGAGTAACAACTCATTAAGTAATTATCCGAAAATCATTTGAAATTGTTTGGCTTTTAGTTCTGCACAGGGCTGCCGACAACCATATTTTGTCTGTTGCTAATCAAAAATTAAAATCTAAAGTTTTTGATTCGCAGTAACTGCGAATCATTAATATGCCTGTCATTTTGGATATTGACACAAGGATAATCCACATTTGAAGACTAGAAAGCTTTCTCAACAATTTCAACGAGTATAAAATGTTGAATAAAATTTTATAAACAAAACTGAATTCTCCGTGTGACATTTTCTTCTCGAACTACCCAGACACAATTCATTATACGGTACTATATAATACAGGGACATAACTCTATAAATAGGGACTATTAAACCGGAAACAGGGAATCAAGTAGTACCACTCACGTTGCGAGACATCAAGTAATTATATGATATTTTGAAAGAAATAAATCCAGTGTATCCTCTAGGTATTGTAAATAAATATAAAAAAATAAATGTTAACGTATTGTAAAATGATAAATCAAAGTAAAAATTCCCGTAAAATATCACGTGTGTCTAGTTAATCGAGGTGCGCCCGATTGAACAAGAAAAGCAATACACGATAAAAAGCAGACGAAATTGTTTTCTAACGAAGATTTCTAACGTACAAAAAATAACAATTAAAATGATTGGGGCTTCGGAAGTCACTGTTAAGAATTGGCTTCAGACATAAGACCTAACTAAATGCCTACATCACATTCACAAACTGTCACAAGTACTTGTGGCACTCCTAAAAAAATCTAAGATTAGTAAGAATGGAATCTAATCATATTTGTTATGAACTAAAGTAATATCTTGTTATTTAGGTGTTTTATGTTGAAACTGAAAAACTGCTAATCAATTTTTAAATTTGCTAATCAAATTTGGCAAAATTGGACTTTTTGATTAGCAGTGCTGCTAATCAACCGTGAAAAATTACCGACAGCCCTGGTTCTGCAACATGCTAATGTTTAGTATACGAAAGATTTAATATCATGGATTTAGCTGTTCAAGTTATCAAAATTCATTGAAAATCAATATACTTGTTCGTCTCAAGACCTTAAACTCTGTTTATCAATCTAAATAACCTTGGTCTCTAGAGCATCCACAAGATTTTTCAAAGTGATCAAGGGCCATAAAACTGACGGACAAAATGGACGCCCCTCATATAACGCAAACGGTGTAAATATGTGGTATATCAAGGTTGTAGGCAACAATTTTTTATACGCCCACAAGCTAAAAACGTTATTTTTCGTACAATCAGGGGCCATAATCCATGAAGTTACGGTCCGATACATGCCAATATTGAAAGGAACCGAGATCTTAGGGAGATAAACCTATATTTCAGGTTTCGGTGAAATCGGATAAAAATTGTAACCTGTTGTAGGCGTATAAAAATTGAATTTCTAACAGGAATGCCAGTCGAAAAAAAATGGTTGAATTCAGTAATTACAAAGACATGATGAATTGAAAAGCTGTCAAAACCAGCCGGCCCCACCTAAGCTGGGACATTATCTACCACTAAAATTTCGATTTAGTTTTCATTCTTAATTAAATGTTAAATAATCAATTTGAGTAGTTAAGTAGCCTACATTTTAACAGCGATTAAGCCCTAAAATATTAGACACCGTCCGAAAAATAATGATCCGGGATTCAAGTAAGTGTACAACATTCTCATGAATATAATATTATATCAATTATACAAATTTACAAGAAATGGTTTAATAGAAATTTAGGGTAATGTTTAATGAATGAGTAATTATTGTTCCTGATCTTTCTTAAATAATAAGACAATCAAATAAATGATATTTTCCTAAACTCACAACTATAAACATTTCTGTTTCTTTTTTTTTTTTTTTTTAATTTGAGATATAATGTCAGATGATGACATAAACACAACATGGACAAACATACCTATATTATACTGTATTGTGAATACTCTAAATGTCTAAACTTGTCATTTGTTGCTAAAAATAATTGGGCCTTTAATTCAAGGGTAGACTAGATATCCTTCTTTCATCACATACATCATATAGACAATAGCAACACATTTTAAACTAAACTTTCAACATTACTAAGGCTACTCTCACATTAACCAATATCATGATATATGGTATGTATAATGTTTTTACTATCATGTAATACAGATTTTAATAATACCAATAACTGGCTTTCATCTTGTGATATTTGTAAGCTTCTAGCATAAATTGTTTTTACTTCTTTAATAACAGTTTCATGTTTCCTGTAAAAGAAATTATTCAAGTATAAATTTTACATTTGTTTTATGTAAAAGAAAAAAAAAATTGAGAGGCAAAATATTTACCATTCCGTAAATTTATAAATGACTCCAGTTTGCATTAAATTCATGCAGTAATTTCTTGGGTTGTTTTTAAAAAAATAAATAAATCGTATTATCTTCTCAAACCAAGGATTAAAAATATTAAAACTTTTGACATATATAGTATTAGTTACATATATATACCACCTGAACATAAATTTATTGTGAATGTAATTTGTAAATATGACTCACCCTTTTGTTAATGAAGTATATGTTTTGATTATATGTAATAATAGATATTGTAGACGTGATTTGAGTATATCTATTAAACTATCTTTATCATGGTTATTACTTGTATTTTCTGCCTGTGTCTGTAAACTGTCTATAATTTCTTCACAATCAGTCAGTGTCATTAATACAGCACAATAATTCTTGATTTTACCTTTATTTGTACACGTTGATTGTGCTGTAAATAAATAAACCATTGCAGATATACCATTTAGTTTTGAAGAAAAAAATGGGATTCTAAACTTACTATCAAGAATCTACAGGACAGACTACCATCTGGAAAGTCACAGAAACCATTCAGAATCAAGAAAAAGTATGCAGTTTGTGCAAGTATGTACCGCTGTCTAACTTACAGACAACCAAGAAGTTTTGAGGTTGTGCTTCTAGTTTTGCACACATTGTTTAGAAACTAACAGTATGTACAATATTCAGTAAACCAGCGGCTGCCAGGCAGGATACACCCACACTTTGCAAGAGATGGATAAAAAAAACGATTTTTTGTACAATCAAGGGCAATAATCCAGAAAGTTATGGTCTGAAATTCGCAAATATCAAAAAGGAATGAGATCTTTGAGATATAAAGATATGTTTTAAGTTTCATCAGAATCTGATAAAAATTGTCACCTCTAGAGGGTCCACAACCTTCGTATTGCATACTTTTACACAATTTGCGAACAAAGAGCGGCCATTTTGTCGGGCAGTTTCATTTCGATTTTCCCGAAATTCGAATTCAACCTTCATTATGGTGGAATGGGGAAATATTTAAATGGTTTTTAAAATCAGAAAAAAAATTCTGACCTCTAGAGAATCCGCAAGCTAAAAATGCGATTTTTCAAACAATCAGGAGCCATAATCCAGGAAGTTACGTTTGGATATACGCGATTATCAAAAGGAACCAAGATCTTAGTGTGTAATGATGATATATTCACATGTTTTTTTTAAATCGGATAAAAATTGTGACTTCTACATCGACGGCAAGCTAAAAACGTGATTTTTTGTACATTCAAGGGCCATAATTCAGGAAGTTAGGATCCGATACGCGCAAATTTCGAAAGGAACCAAGATCTTTGGGTTATAAACATATATTTCAACTCTCATCAAAATCGGATAAAAATTGTGACCTCTAGAGGGTCCACAAGCTTGATATATCAGATGCTTTACACTATTTGCATATGAGGGGCGGCCATTTTTTCCGGCAGTTTTGACCTGATTTTCACAAAATTCGAAATCAATAAACATTACGGTGTAACAGTGATATATTCAAACGTGTTTTTTTTTTAATCGGATAATAATTGTGACTTCTAGAAAGACAACAAGCTAAAAACATGATTTTTCATACATCAGGGGCCATAATTCAGGAAATTACTATTCGATATGCCCGAATATTGAAGGGAACCAAGATCTTTAGGTTATAAACATGCATTTCAAGTTTCATCAAAATTGTGACCTCTAGAGGGTCCACAACTTTGATATACCAGATGTTTACACTAATTGTGTCCGAGGGGCGGCCATTTTGTCTGTCAGTTTAGGTCTGATTTTTACGAAATTCGAACTCAATCATCCTTAGGGTGTGACGGTAATATATTCAAACGTTTTTTTAAATCACATAAAAGCTTTGACTGCTATAGGGTCCACAAGCTAAAAACGCGATTTTTCGTACAATCAGGGGCCATAAGTCAGGAAGTTACGGCTCGATATGCGCAAATATTGAAACGAACCGAGATCTTTGGGTTATAAACTTATATTTCAAGTTTCATAAAAATCAGAAGAAAATTGTGACCTCTAGAGGGTCCACAACTTTGATATACCATATTTTTAAACTATTTGAGCACGAGGGACGGCCATTTTGTCTGTCAGTTTTAGGCTGATTTTCACGAAATTCGAACTCAACCATCCTTAGGGTGTAACGGTGATATACTAAAACGTTTTTTTAAATCAGATAAAAATTATGACCTCTATAGGGTCAACAAGCTAAAAACGCGATTTTTCGTACAATCAGGGGCCATAATTCAGGAAGTTACGATCCGATATATACGCGAATACCAAAAGGAACCGAGATCTTTGGGTTATAAACTCACATAGTTTCAATTACGACCTCTATAGGGTCCACAAGCTAAAAACGTGATTTTTCGTAAAATCAGGGGCCATAATCCATGAAGTTTCGGACCGGTACATGCCAATATCGAAAGCAACCAAGATCTTTTGGAGATAAACCTATATTTCAAGTTTCGTCAAAATCAGATAAGAATTGTGACCTGTAGAGTGTCCACAAACAATTGTGGACGGACGGACAGGGAAGACAACAATATACGTCCACATGAAAATGTGGGCGTATAAAAAAACCAGTTCATCCCCAAAACTGAATGGTTGTATTTATACTGGACAGCAGTAAAACTGAACAGTTGTATTTATACAAGACAACAGGGTAAAACTAAACAGTTGTATTATAGTGGACAACAGTAAAACCATATACTTATTGTTAATTCTAAATAATTTTTACGACCCTGTAGTCTATCAACTATTCCAGTCAGTTAGAATTTAGATAGTAGGATAAGTACCCAAATTCTTTTTTTCAAAACTGAAGTGTAACCAGTTTCCAGTTGAAGTACAGGATTTAATGTTTTAATGTTTTCGTTAACACTTTATTTCTTGCATTATTTTGAGACTAAATATGTGATTTTTCAATTAATTAGCTTACTTTTGTTTATTCAAAACGAAATTAGATATATTTGGAAGAAGCTTGACAGGGATTAACTGTTCATTCTCTGGTTGATTACCATAATAATTCATTTGGTAACAAATCATATGAAATATTTAATATCAATAATTATTTACTATTTTCAATTACTTTGTGATCATTGGGGGGGAGAGGGTTATATAATATATCCATACCTGATTGACAGAACTCTAATAAAGCTGCTTTCTCTAAAAGTGATCGTAACATCTCAACAGGACAGTCTAGTTGACAGAATAAATTTATAGCTTTACTATAATGATTGTCTGATAACTGTTTTACATAGCGTTTCTTCTGATCTGAAATCTATAACAATATATTAATTATATACATAACATAAACAAGCATTTCAACAGAATGAGAGAGGGACGGAGAGAAAACCCACAGTTCCCCCTTGTGCAGCGATTATATGTGGCAAAAATAAAAAATCGGCATTCTTTAACAATAAAGGTGTATCTACAAATATCCATTGGGATGATCATAGTTTAACAGTCTTGCTTTAAAGTAATATTTATATTAGTTGTTTTACACATCAAATAATTATGAATTAGGTAATATACCAATTAATTGTTACCATAAAATGAACAAATTAAGATTAATGAAATAAAGAAGCATTCTGCGGTTATTGCTAAAGCAAAAGATGTCCCCTACCATTTAATACAGTCCCTAAAATGATATAATACAAGCATAACAGAAAAAAGTCTAGACAACTATTTGCAAGTACAAGGGCCTAAATCCTCAAAAAGTATGTAAATGATGAGACTTACTGTATCTCTAAGTGTATGATGATGTAAAGAAGCTAGTCTATGATTAATAGTAGCTGATCTATACTGGCACATTGGTAAACATTTTGGTGAACAATCCATATTACAATATTTTAAAGATTTATTCATCAGATCTATAACATCCTTCTCTATCTGTAAAATTGTAGATAAACCATATTAGTAAAACACTCATAGAGATGTTATTTATGAATAAAACAATTCTAGATAAATTATATTAGCATTAGCAATTAATTGACAACAAAGTAGGCTGCCTAATCATGAATACATGTATTTGGGGTTCTTGATTTTAAAAACACTTGGGTAGCATGTTCAGCATATAAAATTTGTCCTTAAAGGGACCATCCCGATTTTAACTGGGGTTTAGACATAAAAGTCTGTCTACGTAAGCACCAAAATATAGAGGAATGATGTATTTACCTTGTCTAAAAATTTCAGCTGAAAATATTGAATCGTTTGGACGTGAACGTCAAAACACTTATCCAGTCACGTAACCCATTTAAGATTCCGGGTCAATATTTTCATGGGGTGACCTGATAATCTATTGCCATTCCTTAAGAGGTCTATACAGTGCATAAACCCATGTGCTGTACTTGATAACGAAAGGTAAATTTTGGGTAGAGGATTTTAATTGCTTTTAACACAAAATTAAGCAGTTTTATTCTCTAAAATATTATCGGGATTGGCCTTTTAATATGCATTTGTAAGTTTGATATTTAAAAGCAGTCTAGTTGTTCTGATCACTAAAACAACCAAGCTTTACTTTTGGTACTGCTTGTTAGAAACCAATCTGCATTGACTAAAAGGACTACTTACTTCTTCTTTACAATATGTGGATAAAGGAGCATAATCTTGTAATAACATAGCCATATTATAATATGTTGTAGATAATTCCCACAAGACTGATTCCCATATATCACAATATTGTTTACCATTCTTTAATATTGCCAATGCCATCTGATAACAATCAATAGCCTACAAAATAAAGTATGGTTCAATTTTATTTCAATAATTTGCTTGCGTGTAGGGGTCTTTAGCAGTGAGAGGAAACCGAAGGACCCGGAGAAAACCCACGAGGTTGGATAGGCGACCCTATTCCTTGTCACGTACAACCGGGGAATGTAAACCATGCCAGTTGACTCAATGACATATCTTATGATATAGCGTGAACGTGCTAACCATTTGACCATCCAACCCCCCAATATGTCTGACTCTTTCCACAACCCTTTTGGATGATTGGCAACCAAGGTACATCAGAACAACACATTTGCAATCTTCCGCTCAGCAAGGTTGATTCAGCTTTCAAGCAGTGTATAATGTAGGTATGCTAGGTATAGAATCTATGAGAAAATTCTCAAAAGGTCAAATCTTAATACTTCAGAATACCCTTGGCCATCTATTACCGGTACATTATATACTAAGCAACATGTCCTAAATGTCACTGCTGAACCAGTTGGCTTAAACAGTTGTCTAAGCTCTATCAAAAGATGGAATTCCCCATATATAAATATCTGGACCCACCATCAACAAAGGAAAATACATAAATGCACTTACTTTAGTATAATATTCTCTTTCTATTGTAGTAAATTCTGGTTGATCTGAACTAATAGTAAGTTGAGTGTAGGTTTGAGCACAAAGTCTCATTAATTTGCCAGTATTAGACAGAAGTAGTGTTACATTAGCCTTATCATTTATAGCATGAAATACTTCTTTCCCACGGTTAAAACAATTTTCACTTTTTTCCCACATCAATTTTAACTTTTCTAAATTCACCTTTTCTACACCTAAACATAAAAAATAGATTTCAATTTTTGAACATCATCTCATTAAGTATAAATAATATAAATATTGGGGGTGGAGGGGAGCTGCTCACGTCCCCTAATATGCTCAATGACCGCAAAGATATCTATGCTTGCTCTATAATTAATCCAAATACATCCTTTAAAAATTAAAATTCAAGAATTTTGAAATAGGGTTCTTCCTTATATTCTGTCCTGTAATGTATTCACAAGATTTCATAAATCTGAACATCAAATTTGATAGGGTTCATCCCACATCTCAAAAAAACAGTCCGACCAAATCTTTAAAACTTTTGAAAATCTAACAGACTCCCCCACTTAATGAACAATCCCACCAAGTTTTAAATCATTCCATCAAGAGCTTTTTCCTGTATCATGATCACAAGCTTTTATAAGTATGAGAAAAGTAACTCTGAAAATTCATTATGAATTCTTCCATAGGACCAATGACCAATCCCTGCAAGTTTATATGGCCTACCTGCACTTTGTAGTGTATTTTGTGCCAAATTCATATACCATACACCCAATTCGTTGAGAGAGTTTCCTAATCTCTTATGTAAATTAGTATCTAATATTTTATCTGTAGGTTTTAATGTCAATGCATGTCTATAACATCTAACACTGCTGGTTAAATTTTGCTCCAATTCACTACTCCATGCATATACCCAATCATACTCTGTGAAAATAAATAGCACATACAATTAAAATTCATTCTGAAGTTTAAAATCTGATCCAGGCTTGCATTAAATTATCAAATTCAAAAAAAGAATTACTTAAAAATAAATGATTATCTTTATGTATTTCAAAACATATGCCCACAGCAGCTAGGTTGTCCGATCAGTCCATGACAGCTGTCACATTACTATTCTTTTCTAGGTAACAGAAGTATTTACAAGACATTAAAAACTGATGAAATGATATTTATGATAGCCAAATAAAAATAGAAACGAAGTTGAGCAAGCCAAAAATGGGAACACATTCTAGATATAGAGTTCGGCGATCTAGATGTGCAAAATACATTAAAAATAATAAATACTTTATTTCTCAGTACAAAAATGAGGAGCTTTGAAAACAAATATCTCCACATTGTGGAGTCCACAATATCTTATAAATTTGACATTTGGAAAATTTTAAACAAGATAGGGCTCTTTCTTATGCCACTGTGAGCAATCTGATCTGTATTGTGGGAATAACACAGTGATTTTCCCTAGACAAATTCTAAATTTTGATAGGGTTCATTCCTTATGCCCACATGAACAACATCAAAAAGTCCATCAATAATTTTGTTCTGTATCACATTCACAAAGAATAAGATAGGTTGCATAGAAACCAAACATATGCCCACAGAAGCTAAGTTGTTCTAGCCATCGATAAAAAGTTTTCACATGGTAAATAAAAAGCAGCATCTTTGTACCATAAAATATGAATGGTGCATTGACAAGATTTGACAAGATTATACAATAAATGAAATTGGGTTTAACCCTTAACCGGTCGACGTCATTTTGACGTCATGACAAGGCTAAAGTGAAATATTTTGTATGCCTATTTAAATCGACTACTGCCGGATAATAAGTGATAGACTCTTGACACCAATAAAAAAAGTTGAAGGGGATAAGTTGATTTATAATTTGCAAATCATTCTAAATCATTTTCATCGGAAAAATCGTCTTCAGAATTGGTGTCATCGATATAATCCAAGTCGGAATCATTCAACAGCATTTCAACCACTTTGAGAGTCTTTAGCCTTCCCGACATCGTTAAATTACGTTTTTTGTCAAAAAATGTTGAACAAAGACATGTTTTTCTCAATGCCCTTGACAAGACAAGTTCCTGTCTGACACGCGTGTGTGGCCATATCAATTAAATACGAAACTAAATACTCAAAGGTTCTTGCTGTGGTCGATACTTAGCTGTATTACATTGTGGTGATTATAGTTGACAATGACCGGTTAAGAGTAGAGTTAACATCCTACCGTTCAAGATTATACAATATAATCGATCAGAGGTAACTATCAGAAATTGTTGTAATTCTGATTCACTGTAGTAATCTAAACCAAGCCTATTTTCGATCGGGTTCCTACTTATACCCTAATCAACAATCCCCACCAAGTTTTAAAGATTTTTATCTAGAACCTTGACATGTACTGGGTTTATAAGATATTTTAAGAAAAGAAAAGTTGGTCAGACCGATAGACATAGGTGACAATATAATAATGTCCACATTAAATTTGGGTGTATAAAAAGCTAGGATTACCTGGAATTCTACTAGCTCTAATACTTGTATCTACAATGGCTGCTTCTTCTTCAGATATATCAGTAAAATATCTCTCTTGTTCATCTAGAGATTTAACATTTCTAGCCATTATCAGTCGTATATCACCAGCTGTCTCTAATATCAATGTTAATAAATCTATATTCTCTTCTCCTTTCTTAGGTATTAATCTCTTCATCTCCTCTGTGACAACAATGGAGAAATGGAGTCAAATAGCAATGGAACAGAATTAATCCCATTAGTAATGAATTTAAATACTACCTTACTGGCATTAAACTACAATGGACAGCAAAATCAAATTATGCTATAAATATTGCTCATCCTTTACTTATGCCTAGCCTCATGACTGTTAATTGTACACATGGTATAAATGATATTCCATGTTCTATATTTCATGCTATCTTGTTCTAACTACGGCATTCTTAAATCTAATCTTCCTACAGTTAGGGCATAATATATATATATATATATTGAATTTGATGCACTTACCAAAACAGACGATAGCAAAACGAATTTGTCTTAAAGCATGACCATATTTCTGTATTGACAGGTATTCTTTACCAGCACAGTAAAATGTCATGGCTGCTTTACGAAGTAGAAGGCATTTTGAGACGTCTTGCCATTTTTGTTTTTTGGGTATCAGTAGTGTAGACAACTGTAGATTAACTTCTGTAGATATAGATGCTAATGGTTTATAACCTAATGGTATAGCTTCACTATTATCACATGATGCTTGTTCCTCTACGATACTTACATTCTTCTGTTGGTGTTTATATGTATTGTGATCTCTACATAAACATTCTAATCCCTGAAAAACATAAAATATCTTTTATAATCGACATTTCATTCCATTTTGTTTTTCGGTTGTTTACACCACTTAATCTTGGTCTAACGCAGTGGGGGGTCACAGTGGCTAAGTGGGTAAGACGTTGGCTCACTAGCCCGAGGTCAGGTTTTCGATCCCTGCATTTGCGAAAGTTCATCCAGATTTTCCGGCGTGATTTCCCCTTGTCAGTGATGCAGGACGGAGGGCCTGACAAGGACAGCTGTCTAGTCGTTCGGATGGGACAAAAAAACGAGGTCCTGTGTACACATTGGCGTGCACGTAAAAGATCCCTTTCACAGTTGGAATTCGATATATGAGTAGGCCATAGAGCTGCTGTCTGGGCAAAATTTCCCTCATAGCACACTGTATGGCGTATGCCCTTCTTCATTAACCCAGTTCAGAGCAGAACAGTAGGACGTTAAACCCCATTTCATTTCATTTTATTTCTAAAGCAGTGATTCCCAATGTGGAGCGCAGGCCCCACAAAGGGGCAATCTGAGGGGGGGGGGGGGGGAGGGCAATTTGAAAATGATGTCAATAACAAATATCTTCACATGTTCCATTATTACTTTTACACCAAAGCAATTTTAAAATTACAACAATTTGTTTACAACTTTGCACAAGGAGGTTAAACCTCATTTATGTTTTTTAATATCTGAATTTGTAAATTGATACTCAATGACTTTTAAGATCTATCATACAGTTGTATGTATATAAACATTAATTCTATTCGCCTGGGTCATTTGGTATTTTGTTGAAAAATATGAGAGTTACAACATTGTTGGTATTTGCTTGATATCAAACGTTGAGAGCATAGAGTGAAACCGACTAAATTAGAGCCTTCTATTAAAACACTTTGCAGTAAACACCAAGCACAAGGATCTTACTAAATTGATTTTTCTTAAACTAATTACTATATAAAATTATTATTTTCTGATTGTTTATTATTTTATTTGAATAATTTTATTTTATTGGAAGGAATCAATATCTTATGTACTTTTACAAAACGCAATTTGTTTTCATATCAAACTTGATTCAAAGGGGAGCACAAAATAATTTGCAATGTTGAGGTGGGGCATGGTTCACAAATGGTTGGGAACCACTGGTCTAAAGACATTTTCTATCGTGCATGGTTCGGTAAGGCACAGATTTTGAATAGTCGACAACACGACAGCCTACTAATGAAAAATTATGACATCCTTATCCAATAAGCTCTATGGCTTTATCATGCTGCCCTCTCAGGCCTCAGATATTGTAATAATGGAGTGACCATCCTAAAAAAAAAAGAAAAGACAATCGAATCTGATTTTAATTAGAACGCACTTCCTAAAGCTCCAACCAAATATCTGCCACCTAAAAAATAAACTGAACATAATCTAAGAAGTAATAATATAGTAATGTAAGCGCTGAGAGAATAGCAATAGATATCAATTAGTTAAAAAGATTACTATATTTGTATAATTGTTACCTTTCTGATATATTTAAAAGCATCTTGACATCTTTCTTCTACAGTACCAGCTATAGGATGAGCTCTAACTACATGCCAACCTCTATCAAAATTAGGTTTAAAGTCATATAATGTCTTTATATCCACAGTTACTTCCTCTTTATTATCTTTTATATCATCTTCAATAACCGGTCTCTATAATATACAAATATATCTTTAACAACTGGTCTCTATAATAGACAAATACATGTATATCTTCAATAACTGATCTCTATAATATACAAATATATCTTTAACAACTGGTCTCTATTAATATACAAATTTATCTTCAATAACTGATCTCTATAATATACAAATATATCTTCAATAACTAATCTCTATAATATACAAACCAACGGTTGCCAGGTAAGATACACCCACATTTAGCAAGAGATGGATAGAAAACAAGCTAAAAAAAAACCAAAAAAAGATTGGTTGCCAGGCAACGAAACATATGCCCACAGCATCTTTAAATCATCCGGCAGTCAACAAGAGTTGTCACATATTTTTACTTTTTTCGGTAATGAAACATTTATAATACACTAAAATCTGATTTTAGAGTAACAAATCATTAAGTAATTATCAGTAAATCATTAGAATTTGTTTGGCTCATGCTAACGTTACGTTTAGTATACAAAACATTTAATATCATGGATTTAGCCGTTCAAATTATCAAAAACCATTGAAAATCAATATACTTGTTCGTTTCAAGACCTTTAAAACTCTATGTATCAAGCCAAAGTCAATCGAAACGATTATATATAGGCGTAAACATGGTGTATAAATATAAAATCAATCGGATGATAACTATAGTCATAAAGTATCCACAAGATTTTTCAAAGTGATCAAAGGCAATAACCCTGGCAGTAATTATCGGAAAATATTGAAAATAAATAGGACTCTTCGTCTCATGACCTTAACACTGTGTATAAAGTTAAATTCAATCGGATATTAACTTTAGCCTCTAGAGCGTCCACAAGATTTTTCAAAGTGATCAAGGGCCATAAGGAAATTATTGGAAATCGCTGAAATTCAACAGGATTCTTCGTCTCATGACCTTTAACACTGTGTATAAATTTACAGTCAATCGGATATTAAGAATGAGTTCGCGAGAGAATCATGCAAAATTTAAAAAAAACGGCACAAACGGTGTTGGACGATTCTGACCAAACTTTGCAATTTGGTCATTGGGTACGCCGTATACCCCACATGAATTATGAGGGTCACCAACCTTGTAGTTACGGAAAACCAGCTATGGCCATTTTTTTAAAAAAAAATTCCCTAAATTCAAATATTTCCCATAAATAGCCTATTGATTTTTTATTTTTTTTAATTATTTTTTTTATGAATGATCCTGTCTACTACCTCAATATATATGGCTATTAAATTTTTACGAAACCATTTGAGGCTATGAGGAATTTATTTTGAAACGTAGTTTTTGCTATATGCTAAAACATATAAATTTCATGGTGCTATACCTCACCCACTGCGGGGCTGAGGACAATTCTATTAATAATGGAAGTTGAGGACTACTAATACTAATATTTGGTTTTGACTAAATGACTGGCACAGATTTCTTCCACATTAAATTTGATGGTCGAACTTGAAGAAAATGACTTCATTTTTTACATCATTTTTCCAATAAAATCATTCATTGCCTGGATTATTAGGCCTGATAATGCTCCAAGCAACGGACTTACAGCAACTCTGTGTAGGGCCGATACAGATATCCTTTCTGTAATGTATACTAAGAATTTAGGACAACTATGATACTATGCAGATGATACACAGCTGATCGCTAATTACTCCCTTTCAAAAACTGTTCCATCCCCTAATTCTTACATCAAATTGTGTACACATGACTTTAAAGATAGGATGATGACAAGAAATAAGTTGAAATTAAATTTAATTGTATTAAGTAAATCAGAATGTATTTTATTTAGTCCAAATACACATCTGAAAAACACAAGTTCAAATGATGTGGTTGTACGAGATGCAATACTTGTACCATGAGTCACTGTGCAGAAGTTAGGTGTCCTCTTAGGATCCAAATTGAGCATGGACAGTCTCGTTAGTGAAATTAGTCAAAACTGTTATCTTCGGTCCAGGAGCATTGGCCATATAAAACACTTTATTAGCGAGGAAGCAGCATCTACACTTGTATGTTCTTTGGTATTCTCAAGGATTGACTACTGTAACAGCTTGTTGGTATAAAGATCTAGTGCCAATATTAAAAAAAAAAATCAACTTGTACAAAATACTGCAGCTCGAATTGTTACAAAACCCATCTTGTTATCAGGATTAATTAAATTAATTTAATTGTATGCACAGTGGACATGCCTCTGTACATGGAGTATGTGCGCTATATACATATTGTTACTATTATTATTATTCGTCCGGCCGAAGTTAGATTTGCACTCTAGCATCCAAGATGGCGGCTGAAATCAGCTGTTCAATTTCCCGTCTTTTGCTCAAATAAAATGCGGTTTAGTAGCCAGTCATCCGAAAGAAACTACAATAGCATATTCCTGAAGCAATAGCCCAAGAAATACCGCTCTGGCCATTGCTGGATTGACTTCTGAAACTTACATTTTTGAGGGAGTGTGTCTATTCTTCCCGTTCAATCAAATTGCTCCTAAGTACAGTCTTTCGTTTAATCTGGGGTCTTCCCTAAAACTTTGGACAGTGATTTAAGGTATTAAAAACGGTGAAAGTATTGTTCGTCTCCAAACAGTATTATTTAGATTGTAGCTGTTTTGATAGCCTTGTTTGTCACGCAATTAGTTTTTCTGCAATATTCTGCTATGCACTGGTTAACTGGGCGTAATAAATTTCATGAATCATGACGTCACATTATGTAAACATATTTGGAACTCTGTTTAAACCCGAATAATATTGTTACGCAGTTAGGTATTGGTTAATCGGACTATTGACCAGTCATAATTTGGAACAGAAATTTACTTTCATTACGGCAGTGTTGAGTGAGATTAGGTCTAATCAAACGAAATACTACGGGGAGTATGCTACAATAGTGACCTTACGCTCATATACTATATGTTTTTGTATTTTTGAAATATCGCTTGATTCATTTGTCAAGTATAGACAGATGTATATGGCTACTACACTATTTAGTTTTAACGATTTGCTGTTTAAAAATTTATCATCCTTATATAAAGAGTTATATAAAGAATCTCAACAAGAAAAAATATTCATTAAAGTCGGTCAAAAACTTGCAAAGTTAATGCGATTTTTCACGCGTAAACAACTTTGTTGGCACGAAAAACGTCAAAGGCAAAATTTGAAATTGTGGCATTTTCAAATACCAAAAATTTGACCCTGATCCCAGCTATCCAGAAATGTATTCATTTCGAAATAGGAGACAAATTCTTCAAACTACGGCCTATTGTGTTCACTTTCAAGTCCATTTAATGTGGATTTTTCACTTTTTTCACATTCAGTTCAAAATGGCGACCATCGGTTGACCGAAATCAAAATTCTGCTCCGATAGATTTTTAGGCATTCCTTCAAGGATTCAAAAAATGGCGACACTTTCGGTTCCATCGATAGACTTCATATAATGTGTACGCATCAGTAGCTAATACAGAAAAAAAAAATTCAAGGCAATCTGACCTATATTTTCACAATTTTTTTGACAAATTTGATCCTTAATTTTGCCAAGGGGAGATAAGTTAGAAAATTTCTAATGACGTCTTTCAAGTCACATCGGTAAGATCTACAGTAAACGTTGCATAAGTCGGATTCATATAAGTCGGATCTTCGCTCAACTCGTATAATATCGTTTGGACCCTTTGATCCTGCACGTTTTTCTTATTTCGGATTTCCTAAGTCGGATCTTTGCTCAACTTGGATCAAAATGTTTGGTCCATTTGATCCAATTCCGACTTTTTTCCTTCGCCCAAGTCGGATCGGTAGTATGTTCAGAATTTGACTAGGTCAGCTCTGTCTCGATGGTCTAAAACACGGTTAGTTTTCCATGCACAGAGCCCCAAAATTCTTTCCCCTATCATTTTGACTTAAATCAGCCTATTTGACGCGACACAATAACAGAATTTTCCCGGAAAATTCGAAACTCGCTGTCTGCTGTACAAGACACTTTCTGGGAAAATTTAGGACATTTTTCAAAGATGGCGACAAAACGGAAGTTATCTACTCGCACATACAAACAAAAGCTTGAAATGTGCATTTGAATCAATGATTATCCGGCTCTTGCAGTTTATTTGTAATCGAGCTAAGATTGAATTTCAGTCTTCAGCTAACTCGAATCTTTGCTTAACTCGGATAAAATTTGTCAGTCCACTTAGATCCGACTTATGCAAAGTTTACTCTACTTACATTACAAGTTTCATGAAAATCGTGCAAATATTAAAGAAGTTGTCAAGTTGGTCTCAACTTCCAGGACGAAATTTCGAAAAAAAATTTTCATGGTACTTAAAGAAAAAAGAATTAGTAAAATAGCTCAAAAAACCACTATGCATTGTAAGTTTTGAAAATGGTTTTAATCCACAGGGGGGTATGTAGGTCAAAGTTTCAGAAAGATTCTAGGAAAAAAATAATAATAATAATAATAATAGCCCTAAAAGAAACAATAAGCTTTCACATGCAATATGAAAGCTTAATAATAATAATCTATTAAACTTATGTAGTGCCAAAATCCGGCTAAAACGGCTCTATATATACATAATAATATACAAGACAATGGGCTTATCAGGCTCACTAATGCACCCAACACCAGCAACATCAGCACTAACTTTAAAACCAATAACAACAAATCTAGTCAATGTTTTAATGGCAAGCAATCAATCAGGATTGCTTTTGGGCAGAAAATTTCTGTTTTTAAAAGAATAAGTAAAAACCTGGAATAACTAGGTCAAAGCTTAAAGGGATGCCTATAACTAGGATTACCCCTTTTAAAATCCAGTTTAGATCCTTATATTTTACTGTGAAATCCAGTTACGACCTATTTTGTCAAAATTTTATCACAAGCCTTCACATACTGGATAAACCTTCTGTTAACCCTTTCGCTGCGAAAAATAGCAAAAATATGACAGGCTTTGTTTTCCATTCCATGCGGCACATCACATTTATACAACTTTGTTGTATCAACGAAAGTTGACTGACAGAATGAAGTAAATTCCCTCCCTTTGTTTATAGGTGACACTGTGTGTCCAGATAAATGCTTCTGTTCAATTTTAGGGTGTAAAGTATTGGTGTTTCTTTTTAAAGACTTTGAGTTTTGAGGACCTGAACAATCAGCACAAACGCATGGAAAGAACAGTGGAGTCGGTTCTGTAAGACATATTCACTGACAGTGATTCTGAAGCAGTATTTATTGACTCAGAAGATGATCTGGGTGATTCATGTGACATGGATTTACTGGACGAAAATTCGGATTCTAATATGTTTGGATAAACATTGTAAATTATCGGTTAGCTATATAAAAAAAAAACCCCAGAAAACCCCAGTGTTAAACAAATATTCTGAATCTGATGCTCCACCCCCTCCTCAAAATAGGCCTAGTCAAATAAATTAGCATAACGGTATAAACTTCTAATTCTGATAACAGAAAGTGTTAATCAAATTCAGATTAACAACTTTTTCAATTAAAAGGTTGAAAACCATTTCTTCTTGTTATTTTTGGGCCTTGAACATATTTATGCATTTCTGTTTAAGACAGTAATTTTGAATTTAACACTGTTCATTATTTAACCCATTTTGAGTCCCGCAGCGAAAGGGTTAATATAGATGAGACTATAATTTGGAAAAAAAATATGCTGTATATTTTCTGTAACATTTTCTGTTAGCATTGGGATTAGAAGGATGTATTTAAATTATCTTAATCATTTATTATTAAATTATCTAATTTTTTCAGTTTTAAAATTATTACAGAGCTTCAACCACTCAGTCCGCTGTCAATTTCTTAACACATACATTACTAACTTACAAGTGAGAAATGTGCATGAACAAACCTAATGGGATTTCTCGTCAGGCTTTGAACTTTCTAACACTCTCGTTGAGAGTTCACAGTTCAGTGATCTGAAATAAATTTATCTTTGATACTTTCTAAAACACTTTCAAAATACTCACACAAGAATCTGTATTTTCTTCATCTGAATCATCACTGTTTGATTCCCAGACGTCTTTAATAGAGCTGTCAGGTACGTAGAGATCAGATAATAGATAGTAGGCAGATGTACATACCTAACAAATATTACATTTTAAAAAGAAAACATTAATCAGCTTTGGTAGGAAAAATAATTGATGAAGGCCTAAATATTACAATGTAATCCAGGTCATTTCAAAGTGTATTTCAGTTAAGTATTAAATGAGTGTTACCATCACTCTCGATAGTCAAACACTTGCACATAACACATAGAGAGAGAGATGGAGTTTAACATTCACTCAATGTAAACTAGGTCATTTTAGGACTAACCTATGGTATATTGTTTGTTTTGTTATTTGCTTTTGATTAAGGATCTTTAGGTAGGCAACCCTACCTCTGTGCAAAGATGGGATTTCACTGACAACTTTGCACAGATGACAAATATGTAATCTATAGTACACACCTTAGATAACCAGCTCTCAGTCTAGCAAAGGTGTTATCACCGGACATGACAAAAGCACATCGCTACACTGAGGACTTAGTAAATGTGTTCACTGGATAATATAAGTGTTCTCATATCAAAGTGTGATTGAAATATTACCTCATTCACTTTTAACATCAAATTGAGGTAAATTTTGGTGGAGATAAATACAAACTTTAATGTATAAAAGATGTAAAAATCAGTAGCACTAACAATATTAAATTTGTGAATCTGCTGGTAAAGACAAAATGTTGAACTGTTTACCATTTAACCTAATAAAGCTGCATTGATTTACAGAAATAAAATACCAGCGGCTGCCATGCGCAAATATCAAAAGGGACTGAGAGCTTTGGGATATAAAGATATGTTTTAAGTTTCATCAAGACCAGATAAAAATTGTGACCTCTAAGGGGTCCACAATCAACGTATAACATACTTTTACACAATTTGTGTACAAAGAGCGGCCATTTTCATTTCAATTTTCACGAAATTCGAATTCAACCTTCATTATGATGGAATGGTGATATATTTAAACGGATTTTAAAATCGGAAGTTACGTTTAGATATGCGCGATTATCAAAAGGAACCAAGATCTTAGTGTGCAGCGGTGATATATTCACACGTTTTTTTTTTTAAATCAGATAAAAATTGTGACCTCTAAAGGGATCACAAGCTAAAAACGTAATTTTTTTGGTACAATCAAGGGCCATAATTTAGGAAGTTACGATCTGATATGCACGAACATCGAAAAGAACCAAGTTCTCTGGGTATTTCAAGTTTCATCAAAATCAGATCAAAATTGTGACCTCTAGAGGGTCCACAACCTTGATATATACTAGATGTCTGGCAATTTTGGCCCAATTTTGACGAACCAACATTACGGTGTAACAGTGATAAATTCAAAAGTTTTTTTTTAAATCGGATAATAATTGTGACCTCTAGAGAAACTACAAGCTAACAACACAGTTTTTTGTACAATCATGGGCCATAATTCATGAAGTTACGATCCGTAAGGCGCAAATATCGACAGGAACTAAGATCCTTGGGTTATAAACATGCATTTCAAGTTTCGTCAAAATTGGATCAAAATTGTGACCTCTGGAGGGTCCACAACCTTGATATACCAGATGTTTACACTATTTGCGTACGAGGGGCGGCTATTTTGTCCGGCATTTTTCGAAAATCAAACTCAACCAAAATTAATGGGCAACGGTGATATATATTCAAACGTTTTTTTAAATCGAATAATAATTGGGACCTCTAGAGGGACCACAAGTTAAAAACGCGATTCTTCGTACAATCAGGGGCCATAATTAAGGAAGTTACGATCTGGTATGTGTGAATATCGAAAGGAACCAAGATCTTTGGGATATAAACATGTATTTCAAGTTTCATCAAAATCGGATCGAAAATGGTGACCTCTAGAGGGTCCACACCAACATTATGGTGTAACAGTGATATATTCAAACGTTTTTTTAAATCGGATAATAATTGTGACCTCTAGAGGGACCACAAGCTAAAAACATGATTTTTCAGACAATAAGGAGCCATAATTCAGGACGGACAGGGGCGATGACAATATACGACCACATGAAAATGTGGGCGTATAAAAAGTTTGTATTATACCTGTGAATGTTTATCTTCATCTAATAAAAGTAAACAGTTTTCTAAGAGTTTTCTAATTGTAGCAGTTTTCTTTCTACCAGTATTTTTACGTAAGTTTCTAGCTACTCTATATAATAATATTCCTACTGGTACAGTGAATGGATTACCATGATCTACTTCACCTTCACACAATGTTGTTAAATCATACAATTTTACAACATCATCATTACTATCTATAAATACACAATTTATATCATCAACAATCAAAAGGTTTAATAAAGACTATGTGTGATTTTGTCCGTACAGAATCCCTTGCAAACTACAATATTGTGAAAGTTGAATCTCAGTATTTACAAAGGTATGATCAAGTGAAAATTCCCTTGATATGATGCCGTGCCGTGAACCAATTTGATGGGTTTGATTATCTAGCGTTGGTATTTTAATTTTGTTTCTTAAATAAATGTTAAATCATCAATCTGAGTACATATTAGCATTGATTAAGCCGAGAGAAATTTGATATTTTCCAGAAAATGCAAATCATGCTTTAAGTTAAAAAGAATTGAACTCCTTCATATCTAATAAAAAAAAAAGTAATTATCTCATTCTTGAAAAGCAGATTGAGGTGTAAAAACTCCTACTCCATTTCAAATTCTTAAAGCAATGGTTACGAGTTCTATCAGCTAATTAACCAATGCTACATTTACTATAGTAAAGTAGTGCTTGTGATGGGTTCTAGTATGGTACTTACCCTTATATAACCAATATGTGTGACCTTCTAGAGTAGCATTAGATTTTAAGAAAGAGAGGATATTTCTAGCTATATCTAATACAAGCTGCGGATCAAACTGGGAATTCTCATATTTAGGTATATCTTCGGTCTTTAACAGTTCATATTTCTATTCACAATGAAAGAAAAATTTGATAAATTTAACAATAAGGAGAAAATTCTGTGAAGCAGAATGTCAGTCTAAAGGATTTATGAATAAAGAGAAGATATTTAAATTTAAAACAAACTGGTCAATATCTCATTTGAATACTTAGAAACTTAGACAAAACATGTCCAAAATAACCTCTATTATCTTCTTAACTGATAATTTAAAAATTAGGAAACATTATACATTTGAACAAAGGATAATTTAGAAGATAATTTCTAAACTAACCTGTACAAAACCATCTAAATGAAAACACATAGCAACTTCTGGTACATTACACATCAAATTATCCAACCAATAATCTAAACCCGTTAAAACATTAATAGGTTCATCCGATTCTCTGTAATATGAAAATGTCATTATGCAAGAGCTAAATCTGCCTATTGCAAATCTTTCTTTTGGCCCCAAATGTTATAGAAATTATAAACTAGTCAGTTATTTACATAACAAGCCCATAATCAACTCTCTAGACCAGGGGTTTAAATGTGGCCTCTGGAACAAATTCCAACAAACTGACATGTCAATAATTCTTAGAAATTAGAATTGGAAATCATTTATTTATTTATTCGGTTTCAGTAAAACTCTGACTTCTGTACTGTATGTCATATATATCTAAGTTGTAATACAAGAGAACGTTGTGTTCAATATTATATCTTGGCAATTTTGAAACCAGTCTAAAAAAATTACCCGTGTCAAGGACCTTTGGCTTTGTTTTTAGAATTCAGTAAAGTTCAAGGATGTTTGGCTTTATCTTGATATTTTTGTATATCTCTGGCCCACTTGATGTAAAATTTTAGTTCATGTGGACCCTGAATCAAAATGAGTCAACACCCCTGCTCTAGATCATCGAATGGTTGTGATTTTGAATAGATTAAAACATGATTGTCATTTAATAATTTAATTCTAAAATGGATATTCAAGACTTTGTTTATTATTGTAACAACGGTAGCAATGAAAATTGGGACCGCTGTTCTTCAAATATTCTTAACTCCGCTCAGAATGAAGTAATTTGACTGAAATTTTCAATTTTTTCATTATATCTGGGTTTTTTTTTTAACTATTATAGCGAGAACTGTGAGCTCTTTATCTAAATCAGACATAATGCATCTTTAATGGGAGACAATGGCATAAATTGTGCTTCAGTAAACGTTTACTTGCCTTAAGAAAAAAAACAATTTGAGAGAAATATTTTTCTCCTATCTTGTGTTGTTTGAAATGGATGTGTAAATTTTGTTTGATAGCTTAGTTTCCAAATCGGCGGTAAAGGAAGATAACGTACCTAACAGTTCAGGGATTTCAGACTAATCTAGCAACGGCTAGATGTTGTAAAACCTGTGATTGTTGCTTCAGGAACATGACTAATTACAAGCAAAACCAACCAGCTAATGAGGTTTACATAGGAGTATCACCCTTTGAGAGAAAACAAAATCAACTTTGCTGATTATGAACAGGATTCTTGCTAAATAAATAAAATACCTTAATCTGAGACTAACACAAGGATGTGTTTCATCACCAAATATAGGAAGATCAGCTCCAATCAACATTTTGATATTCTCAAATGTCCATAATACTTCACGTTGAAATCCACGACTATTTGTCTAAAAAGACAAAAGTGTCATACAGTAAGTTGAAATGAAATAAGAAATTTTCAAATAGACTTCAAATATATGTTATAATCAAACAAATGAGTGTGCTATATCAGTGAAATTCAATGGAATAGGAGAAATAATATGATGAATTATATACCTGTGGTAATGGATCAGGTAACGGTGTTAATATATCTTCATCTTTTACAGCTACTTGTTCATCTTCTTCTCTATGACACTGTACAACACTAGTAGTATCATCTTTGCCTTCTGATTGTACACTACATGAAATTATAATAAAGTCAATCAATTCTAATAGTGTCTTATTCACTAACAAGTTGCAGATGTATCTTATAAAATATTCCAAGTAATAAAAATCTCAAATTTGCAGGCATTTGACTGAACATCCATTGCTCTCCAGCCACCCAAAAAAAAAAAAATCAAAACCATATTGGATTTTCTAGCATTAACAAGTGAGAATGATTTTGCTTTTAATAAATGTCAAATGCAAAACAAACAGAAATCATGACTAATGTTAACCAATTTGACGATGGTTTTACTTTCATTCTTACCTATGATAGAGAAATTTTGAATACATATTTCGGTTTTGCAACGCTACTCTACTCTTACTTTTTTTAGGAACACATTTATACTGAAATAAAGCAAAGATTAAAAACATTAAAATAGAAAAAAAAAAATTAAAGATTAAATACATTAAAATAGAAAAAATATAAACAGAAATAGAAAAAGTTAAAAAGAATTATTTGTTAATGATGAATAAAATGTGACAGAGTGTAGGGGGTTGTGTTACCAAAAGTCGTCATTTTCAGGAAACAGGTCAATAAACTTCCATTCCCTTTAACTTAACAAATATTTCTTATGTAGAATATCATATTCTGAATATTATTTATGATTACCACAAAATTATTAAAAAAATTTAGGTAATTAGTAATAGTAACTATAGTAGTAAAAATAGATATATTCTCAGTACAGTCAATATTTTTGGAATTTTTTAGGAATCTTGATGCATATTTACGTTAAGACTTTTGCCGATGTAAACGGACATTTTGAATGTGTCAGCGTAATTAAATGATAGCAATCTTGTTAATTTGTCAGCTGAAAAAAGATATAACATGCACAGCTTGAGAATGATACATCACAGCACCCTAATATTTATACAAATAACATAGACATTGACTATTGTTTCACAGAAAAGAAAGATATTGACAAATTATTTGTGTGTTTTCCCTGTATAAATCTTCAAATATTGTTACCATTACAAAGCCTAGACACGAGTCCAAATCAAGTAAAAGTTGAACAGCTTTTGTGTACAGAACATGAACTGCTGCCTGACACATACAAATACAAATATCTACAGAATATCTATTTCTGAAGATAATTTGTCTGCCAATGAAAAACACCCACAGCAGTTAAGTCGTCTGTGTAGTCAATAAAGATTGTCTCAATGAATCTTTTTGGTAAATCAAAAGTATTTACCTGTAAAACATCAATGGAATGTGACAAGATTCGTCAACATAATCAATAACTCTAGAATAATCATACGAAAATTTTGTACTTAAATAAACTTATCTATACAATAATTGAAAAAAGAACATAATTCTAAAGTACATCAGATGCTATTCAAAGTGTCCACAAGTTTTTACAAAGGGCCATCACTCTAAAAGTAACTAAATTCTTTGATTCATGAATCTGAATAGGACATATAAACATAAAGCAGTTTAGAAGTAATTCTGTTGCTTGAGCATTCACAAGATTCTACAAAATCAGCAAATGAAAATTGTTGAAATTTGATAGGCTGCTTCAATTCACTATTAATCTGGACAATCCATATCAATCACAACATAACCATTCTTGCCAGAGTGTTCACACGATTCTTCAAGTGAGCAAGATAATGAAAATTGTTGAAATTCAATAAAGTTTCAGCAGATCAGCCCATAAATGTTAATGTTAAAGCATACTATGAAGATTCTATGGAGCGAGAAGTACTTAACAGAAATCTCATTAAATTAAACAATATTATAAATCATGCCAAGGTCGGATAACAAACATAATCTAGTAGTGCTTAACAAGAAATTGTAGATGACGGATGAACTGATGAAAGGACAGGGCGGACAACAATACATGACCACATATATCAAGAGAAATGGCATCTATTAACCGGATCGGACATGTGCCGTTCCATCTCAAACATCAAACCAATCACGGCATTCAGGAGGAATCCTAATTTGAAGGATATGCTGATGAAAGCAAGACTTATCTATCCCCAACAGGACCCGCAAATTAACGGAGTCACGGTTCAAAATCTGTTCGAAAAATGTATCAAGAAGGATTGTGATATCTGCCACAAATAAGACCAAAATAACTACTTCATTACTGGTAAAACTGGTAAGAAATATTCCTGCCGCACAGGCTATAATTGTTTAAGAAATATAGTCTACCTACTAACATGCTCCTCCAAAAAACAATACGTACGTAGGAGAAAGCAAACGTGCCTTTTCAAAACGAATAAAGGAACACTATGCAGATATTAGACACAGCAAGCCCAAGCCGGTCGCATTACACTTCAACTTAGGTAGACACACGAGTAGAAATGTTATGATTAAAATAATAGAGCTTTTTAAGACTGACCCAGATAACGGCAAAAACGATGCTGTAAGGAAAGCCAATGAATTCAAATGGATTCACACTTTTTAAGAACATTCGCACCGGATGGCATTAACGATCAGATGTAGTCCCGAGGGGTCCCCCACTTTATTGTTTACTCTTTTTCCCCACTGACCCCTTTGCACTACGCTCTTTAAATTCCGTTAGCTATTTCTCTCGTGTGCACCCCTATTTCTGGAACTCGTATTATCGACTCAGCTCAAAATACCTGGCACATTGCCATCATTAAGCCTTAGAGATATCCTGTGACATCACTACTATTCCTACTTTCGAAAATGAAGCAAATCTGTGGAATTTGCAGGGAGATTTTCACGCGCTCATACAACTTGAAACGGCACTACCGTAGCTTTCACACCCAGCTTAAGTTCTGGTGCAAATCGTGCAACCGAAATTACAAAAGGTTGGACGATCTTACCCATCACCAGAAAACTAAACACCAAGTCGATATCTTGGACACCGCTGTGAAACAAAGTATCGGTCATCTTTCCCCTCATTGTGAGGAAAGTCGTTCAAATAATAGCATCAAAAACAAGGATGCTATTATTACGGACAATGTCTCTAAAACAACGGAGGTAAAATATGACAGATCACCTTGTCCTATACCATTCCCAACCATGAGTAACTGGGAGGCTTTTTGTGAAGGAGTTGATCCTTGCCTTGAACTAGAGGCCTGGCCAGTTTTTCGCACACTGAATCTCGATGATTTGGCAGAATCAAACATCAGTAAAGAAGACTGGGTATTTTTACGTTTCAATCGAGAAACGCAAAAACAATTTCGTGAGCTCCTTGTTGAATTCAAGAAAGATTTTCCTAGAGCCACTTCTCAAAGTATGCGAAATAGTAGCATAATTCTCAGCCTAACTCAAGGCAGAATATGAAAAACAGGGACGAGTTCCCAATTAATTTAGCCGTGGTACCCCCACGTCGATAACTAATAAAAAATTAGTGCATACATGCCCATAACCTAATATAGTTATTTTTAAGCCTTCAGTAGTTTAGAAAGCTTCAAACTTAAAGTTCAAAAGGGTTAGGAGCCTTGAGTCAATGTTAATAAGCATAATCATGACGGCAAATTTTTTTAGCCGAATATCTTTGCACACTTTTCGTAATAATCGGCTCCAGTGCCAAAGATTGACTCCGGTTCATCTGTGACGTCACATGTGCTCCGGTGCCCACCGACACTATATATAGAGGGCCACCACACATCATCATTTAAGCCTGACGAGTTCGAATAAGAACGAAACTAGTAGCTGGGAGAAATCTGGAAAGGCTGTTCGCCTACTCACAGATTTTTTACTGTGTTATCTTGGCTAATACTTTAACAATTGAACTCGAGAGAAATTCTTAACATTCAATTGAAACTTAGAGCAACTAAACTGTACCAAACCAATCAACGAAACTAACTTGGATTAAATAATATTTGAAATATTAGTACCTTTCCCTCTGTATTTTTGCCTATAATCTGTTCATAAAATTTCCACAGCCATTTCCATTCCTCCTGTCAACAAGAAAAGGTTTAATTTATTCCTCAACATACCATAGGGCTGAAACTATTGCAAGAGATAAAATTGGTTCCTAATCGAGTACATTTGCAATTTTTTTTTACAGAATCATTCCACATAAAAGATGGAACCATTTATTTACATAATATCTAATTAAACAAAAACAAATAGCAATGTTTACAGATAAATTGTGAAAAGATATTTTCCTCATTATTCAAATTCAGTAAATTTTACCTTTTCTTTTCGGAGTAGATGTTGATGAATATCAAATTCATCTAATAGTAATGTTTGACCTACTCTATGTACCATCATACTTATATGAGAGGATGATGAGAATGGCATCTTTAACAATTTCTTGATGTTCTAAAATGAATTAATAAATATCAAATATTGGATTAATCAAATATTGGATTATTGAAAATATAGATGCCTATAGTATTAACGCAAAGGCAGTTGACTGAACAGCGATTGGGAACTTGCCCAACTTCAGGAAATACCTCCAACACTTAAAACAATAATCAACTGCATTCGATACTAACATTCACCATTTTGATAAAATGGTGTGATACTCTGACAATACCATATCATCCAATTGGATTGTTAGTTATTAGTTAAGCCATAATATTAATAATAAGTCAACAATGAGGCTTGTGTCCCCCCGCCTTAATCCACATATAAATAGATAACACTCAATAATTACTTTCACATTCATCTACTAGTACATGTATTTATAAAACATCAAACTGCTAATCACTCTGCTTAACCTGAGCAGAAAATGTTTATTATCAATCTTAGTCAACACCATCTTTCATCAAACTGCATATCTGAGCTTAATCCATGTTTGAACAATCTACCTCAAATAGAAAATGACTTATTGCGATTCAAAACTTTGTGACAGACATATACAGACAAACCCATTTCAATAGTCCTGAAAGGCAGGGGATAATATAATACTTACACTAGCATCTGATACTACATCTACATCTTCTGTTATATCATCAAGAAAATGGTTAGCCATATTAAAACTGTAAGTAAAAACATGTAAATATGTAATAATACCTCTTTAACTCCTTCTCAAGAATTTTGAAATTTGGAATGTTTTCATGATTAAATTGATATATGTGAATGAATTCCAATAGGGCTCCTCATGAGTAGTCAAACAATTCCAGCAAGCTTGAGAAAGAAAATATAAAAAACCTCTAACCTGAAGAACAGAGAGAGAGAAATGCGGTTTAACGTCCACTCGACACAAACTAGGTCATTTCGGGACTAACACATGGTTCAAATTTTTTTTCAATAATTCGCTTGCGCGTAGGGGTCTTTAGCAGTGGGAGGAAACCGGAGGACCCGGAGAAAACCCACGAGGTTGGACAGGCGACCCTACTCCTTGCCACGTACAACCGGGGAATCAAAACCCCCCAGTTGACTCAATGATAGACCGTATGATACAGCGCGCGCATGCTAACCATTCGGCCATCCAACCCCCCCCCCCAACCTGAAGAACATTTACAAGGTTAAGTGTCAGGGGTAAGAAATAACCCCTCCTTGCAAAACCAAGGCACAACTCTCAATTGTGAAAGGGTTCACCCTTATTATTAGCTGAACAATCTGCCATTACAAGGTTCAGGAAAAGGGCAATAACTCTAGTTTTGCTTCAAAATTTTCCATAGTTTAAGAGTATGGAATGGATAGAACGGTCGCTGAGAAATCTGACCAATGCTTTTCTCAAAATGACACATATTCAAAGTGCACTGTAGAGTGGCTGGGAAAAACATTATATTATTTTATTTTTCCCAAACTATCTTGATCGATCAACTTACTATCTAGGTCGATCGACTTACCATAACGAGGCTAAACAGGATGTGTTTTCCCAACAAGTTCTCCATATACATTCACTGTGATGCCAAAGACGGACTGTTAACACGGTATAGGTAGCGCTTTTCAGTCACATCATCATTCCTGCTCAATATTTTCTCGCTATTCATCAACCTCAAAATGACTCGAAACTGGCGACAGCGTGGCACATTGATGCAGACCAGAGCCTGAATCTGAAGGCGAAGACAGATCGGCTTGTATCACTGGGGTCTCGTCGCGAGGTGAAATGAAATGAAATGGGGTTTAGCGTCCTACTGTTCTGCTCCTATACTGGGCTAATGAAGACGGGCATACGCCATACAGTGTGCTATGAGGGAAATTTTGCCCAGGCAGCGGCACTATCGCCTACTCTTATATCGAATTCCAACTGCCACAGGACACAGGACCTCGGTTTTTTGTCTCATCCGAAGGACTAGACAGCTGTCCTTGTCAGGCCCTCTGTTCTGCACCACTGACAAGGGGAAACCATGTCAGAAAATCGTCGCGAGGTAACCATATCCTTCTTATTCTGCCACAAAATCACCTCTGGAGCTAGGTCTTGAGCTCAGCTTAGTCCTCTGTCGCCATGCCTCCTGTACGAAGCATTCTGACATGAGGGTCCACCACACCACAATATTTTTCGTCACTAGTGTGAGGTGTGTCTCATCCCCTGTGAGGTGTGTCAAGCCATTACCACCGAGTACATGGATGGGGTCATGACATGCCTCGTTGAATGACATGAGATTCATTTGTTCTTTGGGTCCGTGAAGTGTTTCTCATCACTCGTGAGGTGTGTAAAGCCATTATCAACGTGTACATGGATGTGGTCATGGCATGCCTTGTTGAACGACATAAGATTCGTTCATTCACTGGCTCAGTGGGTAAGAAGTTGGCTCACTAATCTGGAGGTCTCATGATCGATCAAAGTGTTTGTCAAGAAGTTCATCTATCCATACTGCCTAGGGACTCTCGACCAGCATCGGTGACAAAACAGAGGTCCTAAAGATGGCTACTTAGACACACTCACATCACCGCAATGGCCAAGCAGAAAAGCGTGACACCACGCCCGACCTCTCTGCCGACAATGGGTATAGAAACGGTTATTCAAAGGAACTCCAATGACCACAAAGTTCGCTCAGCCCTCCTCAATACTCAATAGGGGAAACACTTCCTGTTTGGCCTTGACATATAGTAAGTTGATCGGTCGAGATACTAAGTCAATTGCGATACTAAGTCAATCAATCGAGATACCAAGTCAATTGCGATACTACGTCAATGAATCGAATTACTAAGTCAATCATCGAGATACTAAGTTGATCGATCGAGATAATTTCAGAAAAATAAAATCATGGGATGTTCGTATATTCTGGAGAACAAAAACTAAAACCATATAAAACCATACCTTGAGAATTCTGAATGTTCTCGCCTCCATGGAATATCTCTAACATATTGTTCTGGTTTAGAATTACTACGCAACCAGTTAGAAGGAGGTATATTTAAGTTGGTATTACTCTGCAATTGATTGAATGGACTCAGTAGCGGCAATGATTGGTACTTAACTACTGCTGTTGACTTCACATTGTCATGACCTGCTCCACAAACTTTCTCTGCCTAATAAAATAAAGAGAAAAATAAAATAAAAGATTAAACTTTGGTTAAAGATGTAATATGTAAGATTTAAAAATAAAGAGTCAGACATTTTTGCTATAATAGTTCGAAAATAGATAATGATAAATGAATATATTGAAAATTTCATTCAAATTATTCTATTCTGAGCAAACTTATGACTGTTTGAAGATATAGATGTAGCATAGATAATTCATTATCATAGCAATGGAACTAGACAATTGAGACTTAGTCTCTGTTGTCCATTTTATCATTAAATTTTCCAACCTTGCAGATGTTTAAATTCATTTAAATTTTAAATCTCCGCCATCTGATGGTCTGGAGAGTTGAATAAGGGCTTATGTTAACAAATGTCTAAATAACATTTGAAGCTTAGAGAAAGACCTATAATTGGCAGATATAGCTTTTACATAATGCATCTTTAACTGATTAGCTCCTACTCTGATTTAAAGGGGCTTTATGGGAGACTAGATAAAGAGTTGACAGTTCTCGCTATAATAGTTAAAAAAAAGATTACGTTAATAGAATATGCTGAAAATTCCACTCTGATCCAAGATATTAGCTTTTGAATTTTAGGCTAGCCTCAATCATCCTAACTGAAGTCGGTATGATAAAAAACAAAGTCTCTATTATCAATTTTTACATTTAATTATTTTTCAAAAAATTTATTCCAATCTGCTAAATATTGCAGACTAGTGATGGCATCGAGAGTTGATTATGGTCTGGATAAGTTAATTAATGTCTAATTAATAATTTAGATAACAACAATAGGCAGATTTAGCTCTTGTATGTTGTATGTTTAATAAACAGATCTGAATTTCTTCATTTGTTCACTGTATTTAAAGTTTAAAGATATATTATGGGAGATTAGATAAAGAGCTGGCAGTTCACACTATAATAGTTAAAAACTAGATAACGTAAAGGGAATTTGCTGAAAATTTCAGTCAAATTGATTCACTCTGAACCGATCATCATTACTAATTCGGTAAGATAAAAATCATAGTCTCGATTTTCCATTTCATGATTAAATCATGAATGAAAGTTGAGCAGCAAATCTGATCCTAATTCAGTAAATACTGCAGGCTAGCAATGATATCGACAGTTGATTATGGTCTGGATAAGTTAATTAATGTCTAATTAATAATTTAGATAACCTTTCAGGCCTAAAGAAAGACTTGCAATAGGCAGATTTAGCTCTTGCACAATGTATGTTTAATTAAGCCTCATTGCACCAGAAGCCAATAACCATTTTCTGTACGTAAATTTAACAAAAATAATAAATTAAAACTTTTAGAGAGTAATCATGGCTATTAAAATAAACAACATATGTTAGATGTCATTATATTCTTGCCTCTATACTTGTCGACAGAAATGAACTATCAGTCAGAAGCCAATCAAAAAACATTGTAAACTATAAATCTATACATATGTACCTTAAAATCTTTTGATTCAGTTCCATTACTAGAATTCATCTTTTCTTTTTCATCCATCTTTTGTTTCTATAATCTCTGAAAAATACCAAAACCACTTGTTGTAACAATGATTTATTTTAATTTGGAATGTGATATAATGTTCATGCAGTAAGCTTGGTTTATATGGAGTAAGCCCATTGGTACAACGACCAATATTGTTTGAATATCTAGGTGATCTTCAAAATAACTGACTTTAGCTAGCTAGGTAAACTGAATATCAAATTTTGTAAATAACACTTTTAATAAATAAAGTTACTGTATGTATTATGTCCTTAAGTATAATTTTGTTAACTGGTAATGCCAACTCAGGACATCTTTGGGTCAATGAGTGCTGAATCCATCAGCATTGAGCCATGAGTGTCAAAACCAATGAGTTGACCAATAACTAATAAGCAATGATCAAAGAAAGTACACCCACGATCTAAATAACTGAAATAAATGTTTTTAATCATTAGTTTTACTGGCACAAAATTTTTTATTCCACTAGCTAGTGTAATATTATCTAAAAATAAAACCATTTGTACCAGTACCAGTATTGGTATAATGACAACAAATATAAGGAATGTTATTTTACAATCAAATTCGTAACAAAATACAACAGCATGGTTTCACTTTAAAGCAGTATTGCCTCCTAATAGATATATTAGTAACAGTTCACTGGTTCTAGTACATGTAATATGTAACTTAAAGGCTCAATACCACTCTTCGCTCGGGGGTCATAACTCCGAAACCGGAAGTGGTAGACTAACGCCACCTGGCCTATGTTACTCCCCGGTCCGAGCTATCCCTATACCCCAAATTTCAGACTCGGGGCAGACCTAGTGTAGCCGCCAACCCCGAACAGACCGGTTTCGCTCGGGGGTCATAACTCCGAAACCGGAAGTGGTAGACTAATGCCACCTGGCCTATGTTACTCCCCGGTCCGAGCTACCCCCATACCCCAAATTTCAGACTCAGGGCAGACCTAGTGTAGCCGCCAACCCCGAACAGACAGACAGACAGATGCCCGGCTTCGCTCGGGGGTCATAACTCCGGAAGTGGTAGACTAACGCCACCTGGCCTATGTTACTCCTCGGTGTGAGGTACCCCTATACCCCAAATTTCAGACTCGGGGCAGACCTAGTGTAGTCGCCAACCCCGAACAGACAGACAGATACCCGGCTTCGCTCGGGGGTCATAACACCGAAACCGAAAGTGGTAGACTAACGCCACCTGGTCTATGTTACTCCCCGGTCCGAGCCACCCCTAAACCCCAAATTTCAGATTCGGGGCAGACCTATTGTAGCCGCCAACCTCGAACAGACCGGCTTCGCACGGGGGTCATAACTCCGAAACCGGAATATATATATAGATATAAAATGATTTACATTCAATAGTTTCCGTTTTTACTCTAATTTCAAATCAGTTATGTTCAGCAAAATATGCCAATCTTTTACGGGTAAGATCACAACATCAATGTTGATTTAAATTGACAAATAATTTGTGTTTTCAATGTCGAAGACTTTGGATGATATTGAGTTAGAGACTTTAATTAGCTACTTATCACAACATCAATGTTGATTTAAATTGAAAACACGAATTATTTGTCAATTTAAAGGGCCAATCCCGATAATATTTTGGAGAATAAAACTGCTTAATTTTGTGTTAAAACTCCTTAATATCCCGTACCTAAGGGTCGAGCAGCTAACTCATTATATGTGATACGTTTTCAAACAACTTAAACCTGTCAGTCTTCATCTGGAGATAGAGACCGGTCTCCCAAGCTGTATTATGCGGTGGCTGGATAAAACCAGACTTTTATTTTATAAAAACAATGTGTAGGTGGAATTTACCTTTCGTTATCCAGTACGGCACATGGGTCATTCACTATATAGACCTCTAAAGGAACGGCGATAGATTATCAGGTCACCCAACGAAAAAAATGACCAGAAATTTTAAAAGGGTTACGTGTCCGGATAAGCATTTTTGACGTTCACATCCAAACAACTCAATATTTTGAGCTGAAATTTTGAGGCAGGGTAAATTCACCATTCTTCTATATTTTGGAGCTTAAATTTCATACGAACTCGGACTTTTGTTTTTGAGACTCTGTTTGAATCGGAATAGTCCCTTTAAATCAACATTGATGTTGTGATCTTATCGGGAAAAGGTTGGCTTCTGATATCTAATATTTAGGACAAAATAAACATTTTACCATTGGTACACGAATCGTGTACCATAGTAAGTTTCAGCGCCATTTGTAACATAATTAAGGGACTCAAAGAACATGGCTAGACATATTCCACAAGTCATGCCAAATTGTGAGCCAAATACTTATCTGGAGAGCATGCGCAATAAATACTATCGGTGTAGACTGGAATAACCAATCGATTGATCAAGACTTATGGCATATTTCACCGCGCATAAAAGATTTGAAATTAGAATAAAAACAGAAAAGATTGAATGTAAATCAGTTGATATACATTCATATTACATTATTATATGCGTTGCGACCTGTTTGTAGATTGTGTCAATTTTTACGTCCCAATAATAGCAATTTAGCTCCTTTAAATATGTCCCTGCAGATTATCTTTTGAGAAAATCCCATTATATTCTGTGAGATTTTTTAACGGTACTCTTCTGTGAGAGCGAGAGGTTGGTTCACATTTCTTGAGTTGACTCACTGAAATTCCTAGACACTTGCATTCCAAAATTCCAGAACAGTCTTTACACAAGACTGAATATAGCTGAAAGAAAACAACTGAAGTGAAAGACAATGTACAATTTTGTCCCAGTATTGTTAACACTACTGCTGTTATAGCTCTATTAGATATCAAGGTTCAGTTGAGCAATCAAGTCTAGGCTACCCTACAATGAGAAATTAGAGTAAATTTGTACCGGTCATCAGTACCATAACATAACTGGATTTACGACTTACCTGAATTTACAACAAGCATGAGATGAAGCAATATCAGGGTTCCCAGAAATAATCTATTAATTTTATGATGCTGCAATCGCGAATCGAGGATTTAGACTAGAGCACTTGATAAAGAACATTTTACAACACTTGAAAATCTTTCATTGTATGCTTTCACACAGGTTCCAACTGTTTTTTTCATTAAATGTTTGTAGAATAATGTAGAATATTCTGTCAATGTTGTTGTTTTGAAACGGAAGTTATCTCAGAAAGTCCAGAATTTCCAGACGCCTAGCATATTGTTAAGTAAGAGCATAAGCAGAAAGATCGAGACTACACAGCTGTAAACAGGAAGCACGTGTTCGACAGTCTTTGACTTTAGATAAAAAGTGGACATCAGTTTTCAATTAATTATGTTTAATGATTAAAATTTTCAGGTAGCCTACTGCTATGTAAAGCACAACCGTATTGTGTTATAATTAAAAAACAGTCGACGGACTGACTTTTTGATGTTTGACTTTAAAGTAGCTACTATCATCATCCAAAGTCTTCGGCATTGAAAACACGAATTATTGTTTTATCTTATAGCACTTTTAAATGCCTACAATCCCTCCAAATTTGGTGTCTTTATCTCAAATATTAAGGAAGTTATGATGATTTTTATCCGTTTTTAACCCAGTTAACGAGCCTAATTAATCACATTTGTCTCCTCCCACTGCTAAAGACCCCTACGCGCAAGCGAATTATGTAAATAAAATTAAACCATATGTTAGTCCCGAAATGACCTAGTTTGTGTCGAGTGGACGTTAAACCCCATTCCTCTCTCTCTCTCCCTATTAATTCCCTTGTTAAATTTCAGCCGTAATTGTCCAGATTTCCAGCATTTGAAATTCCATAACTTTTTTATTTTTTGAGCTACAATACTGAATGAGGGCTTATTTAAAAGGTTTTTATTAGCTCTTTCCATTTTTGTTATTAGATTTGATGTGGGACAGTTTTGAAAAAAATCTGCCACATAGCTATTATTTGTCATTAGGAGCTAAATCGCTAATATTTGGGACCAAGAAATTGACACAAATGGGTCGCAACGCATATAATAATGTAATCTTATTGTATATAAACTGATTTACATTCATTTGTTTCCGTTTTGACTCTAACTTCAAATCAGATGTCCAGCGAAATACGGCATGACTATGACTCACTATGAGTTTCAACTGAATGTCAATTTCTAGCGTCTGGTTATTCCAGTCTATTGTGCATGCTCTCATGGCGTCACCGTTTGACATGAGTTATGGAATGTCAAGCCTCGTTCTTTTGGTCACTTGTTACAAATGATTCTGAAACGCACTATGGTACACGATTCGTATACATGCACCAATCCAATGGTAAAATGTTTATTTTGTCTTAAATATTGGATATCAGAAGCCTACCATTTCCCGGTAAGATCACAACATCAATGTTGATTTAAATTGACAAATAATTCGTGTTTTCAACGTGTAAGACTTTGGATAATATTGAGTTAGAGACTTACATGTAGCTACTTTAAATCAACATTCATGTTGTGATCTTACCGAGAAAAGATGGGTTTCAGCCCCATTTGTTACAAGGGACTCGAAGAACGAGGCTAGACATATTCCACCATTTGGCAAACCTCGGCAGATTCCGGTAGCCTACCCTACATCAGCCTAGGCTGTATGACAGTAAGTAATGGTATGTACCTACGCCTATACAATTGCGATGCGGCACCGATTTACTTGCCGCTTTCAGAAAGAAGTTCTAACAATTGCGTGGTTAGAAGAGTGTGTAAAATTTTTAGTGCAAACTTGTCCTTGTCTAAAGAAAATCGGATAAACTTGAAACTTCAGACTTTGAAATCTTTGTAAGATAAAGCATTCTTCAAAGCCGATGTCATGGGCAACGCCGTTGGTAATCCCGGAACTTGAAAGTAGTTCCAATGGCGGACCTCGTCATAAGCCAAGGCTAGATATAGGGTACTGGAGTCTGCTGAGGTTTGCCGAGTGATATTCCACAAGTCATGTCAAACAGTGACACAATATTTGGTCTTATCTTGAGAGCATGTGCAATAAATACTATCGGTGTAGACTGGAATATCCAGAGGCTATAAATTGCCATTCGATTGAAACTTCTGGAGTATTTTGCCAAACAACAGATTAGAAATTATGGTTAAAACAGAAACGCTTGAATATAAATCAGTTTATATACATTCATATTACATTATTATATGCGTTGCGACACATATGTGTCAATATCGAGGTCCAAAATATTAGAGAAATATATCGGTCACGGTCCGGCGCGGCAGGGCGAAGGGCTCAAAGTCCTTTCATCACAAAACCATTCCACCCCTGGCTGTTTAATCGCAATCTATTTTTTGATAGGGCTGTTTCATCGAGAGGGGTCCACTAGTCCGCGGGTTTACTAATCGCGGGTTCACTGCGTATGCCTTTCTTCAATAGTCCGATTGGTGCAGAAAAGGAGGAAGATGAAATGGGGTTGACCGTCCTACTGTTCTGCTCCGGGTGGGCTAATGAAGAAGGGCATGCGCTATACAGTGTATTTAAAATCTCCACTATCGCCCTAACAGCATTATGAACCATAATGTGCAAATGTTCTACATCCATAACAGTTTTATCTGTCTTACCTTCATCTACTGTATCTTTTGATAAATCAATCATTTTTGATAAATCATCCATTTTAATGCTTTCATTTTGTGTGTCCCTGTATCTATTGTTTTTACCAAACTTGTTTCATCTTGTTGAAACCCAGTGTATTATTTTTATATTCAGACACTTGCTTAACATATAAAAGTTGTTATAAAATACAAGTCTTCATTGATTAGTTTTTTCAATTAAAATATCCAAACACAGACAATTTAACTAAAATATCTGGAGCTCTTTTGAGTGTGACATAACCTAGTCGCTATGGTTAACTTTAACTTTAAAATCTTGATTATTTGCTGCCTAGACTATAGTCATATACATTTGATAATGATAATTATTGAATCATTTTTTCAGTATTATTTATCCTTTGTTCTCATTCTCTTGCAGTAAAAGGAACAATATAAAACAGACAGTTGAGATGGGGAAAGCAGTAGGCCGCAAATCAACTAGAAAATTGCCAACAGTTTCCAGAATTCAGAAAACCAGGAAACAATCAAACACAAAAATAGTTAAAAAGCCAACTTCTAATTCTAAAGTGGAGGTCATTGATTTTTCAGTTCTACCCAGGACAAATGTTCAAAAACTTAATGCATTCAAGAGTAAGATTTCAGTTTTTAGAAACTTTGTTGATAGTGGCGAAGAATCATCTGAATTTAAGAATGATACAACATCACAGAAACTTCTTGAAAACAACAATACATTCTCATTTCTTAGCAAAAAACTTTCAGAACATCGAAACAAACAGCTTCTAGAAAATGCTTGTAAAACCGAAATAATTGTTGTTGAAACTGACGTCAACAAAATGAAAGTACCTTCCAACTGTGACAATGATCTCTCAAAGTCAGTTAATGCAAATTGTGATGATGTTGATGATGACTACGAACCTAGTATGGATGTTCACATGTCGTATGAAAACTTAGAACTTTCAGATAATGAAAATACCCAGAATGGATATACATGTGTTGGAAATGTAAATAAGCCTGAATTTGTCCTAAGCAGAAAGGGTCATCGGTCAGTGCTGATTTTAACCCATCCAGCTGAACTATGTTTTAAGGGAAAAGCTAAGGTCAGATCTCTATTAGGCAGTTGTAAAATTCTGGGTTATGAGATCAAACCAGGTAATAATTCTGTGGATGTTTTTTCACCCAATAGCAACAGTTTTTTGACTATAAAAACTGTCAGGGGAGAACCAAAGAATACAGTTGCCAATGTGGTCACTGCTGACATGCTGAATGAAAGTAGTTTGAATCAACTATTGGCTGATTTGAATGAACTAGCAAATGGAGACTGTGTAGTACTGATATTGGATAGGTTAATATCACCCATAAATTTTGAGTCATCGACAGTGCCACAATTCAAAAATCTTTTTCATTTAGATGATCCACAAGCCAAGTACTCATTATCTAGCATGTCTGACTGTAATTCTTTATGGGTTTCTGCTTCCAGAGAGTATGACACTGCTATATATGAATGGACAAATAAGATAATTAATGGTATCAAACCTGTTGTTATGGTTGTAGGTGGTAAAAACTCTGGTAAATCAACTTTAAATAGAATGTTAATTAACAGTGCTCTTAATGTCAGTAATGCCGTCAGTTTTTTGGACTGTGATGTAGGCCAGGCAGAGTTCACTCCTTCTGGAATCATTTCATTACATCATATTAATGAACCGGCTCTCGGACCGCCCTTTACTCACCAAAAGAACTCAGATCATATGTGTTTTTATGGTGAAATTAACCCATCAAAAGGTTTGACCAGATATATCAAATCTGTTGAAATTGTTCACAGATCATACAGAAATCTAGACACCAAGCTGCCTGTAATTGTCAACACCTTGGGATGGAATGAAGGATTGGGATTAAAGATTATTGTGGATCTAATCCATATGATCAAACCAACAATGATTGTTCAGTTAGATTGTGAATATGATTATAACAACTTTCCGCCTTTGACATCTGATTATTTGATGAACACACCTGGCTGGCTGTACAACATACCTGAATTAATGATTAACAGTGGAACCCCTCCCTCTAACTTCGATAATCAGACATTATATATCATGGACTCAGAGGTTCCCACAAAATATCGATTTCCATTTAAGGCTGAACAGTATCGCGAACTGGCTATTCTTGCATATTTGAACAGCACTCTTGACAATGGCACCAAACTATTACATATGGAACCTTATAAGATTAATTTTAAAGATGTGGTTATACATGATTGTCAACATCCTGGTGACAATTCACAGATTCTTTATGCTTTCAATGCATCAGTTGTGGGGTTATGTGAAATTAACATGACTACAAGTTATGTTAAGAAAGAGTCTGGACTCCATTTTGTTAAAGAGATGCCAGTTTGTCCTTCTTATGGACTGGGAATCATTAGAGCCATTGATATTAAAAATGAACATATTTATTTAGTTACACCACTGCCTTTCGAGAAACTCTTAAATGTAAACTGTCTTATTAAGGGTGCTGTACATCTTCCCATTGACATTCTTTCACAGCAGACAGAATCAATAGACGTTTCGGAATTACCGTATTTGGGTTCTATAAATAAAACAGTTGGTTCAACTTCCCTTATAAATCGTAGTAAGATGCCTAGAAAACAGTATTTACAAAAGGGTAATAGTAGCACACAGAAAATCCCCAAGCTATGATTTAATTTCACACAATGGCCAGTGTAAAGGCTCATTTGATAAGTCAATCTGTTTGTACAGCAAGAAATTTGAGTGAATAATCAATGTAGATTTCAAAGCATGTGATTTAAACAAAAAAAACCCTAATGTAGAGGTGGGTAGATAATGGTAAATTATAATAAAATATTGATTACCACACTTTTCTTAATGTATGTAGCTGTACTTGTATATACATATGTAATGTATACACCTTACTAAAACATTTATTGAACTGTATACATCTCATATCAATAACCAACTTCATTGGCTTTTGAAAATTCTGGTTAGATTTTTTCCATTATTTAGGAGGTAGATGTCCCTTCCCACACCACACCTCTTTTGCAAATGTCTACCAACCCACCTTTTCCCAATTTCCTAATCCACTCAGTTATGATAAATGTTTTATTGGCAAACAACAAAAGCAGAATGAACAAGTGAAGATAAAGCTTATTATAGACAAATGACCTATATGATATGTATAAATATAGATTAGTAGAAAAATCAATAACAGACATATAGTCTATTACATTGGTATTATAGAAGATCATTCATTTGTACATGGATGATTTATGTACCACATGTCGTTTATCATGGACATTTTCTCAACACCCAACAATCCTCTTAAATCTTCATTTTTTGCAAGCATTTAAATTGATGTCCCAATTGTTGTCCTTTCACACTTGTTTATCACAATTATGAAAGGATCTTTTTGGAATTATTAGATGTTCTTGAAGACATGTATTGATTTTGTGTAATCTCCTATAATTATTCCTGGAGTTTGTCTCCTTGATTAAAAATAACCTTGTTAAAACCTTAAATTATCCTGCGATCTTTTTGAAATTTAATAGTTTGTTCAGATTATTGAAGGAAAGACTTGAAAGCTGAGGATTATTAAACTGTTTTCGTCTGTCAGTCCATTACACCTTTTAGAACACAATAACTCTGTTTCTAATTGAGGTAGAATGTTGAAATTAGGCGTAGATGTTGGCTGCATCTCTTAAATGGGTTTGATGATGGCAATTTTCTGCTTAGGCCTAGCAGAGATAATCAATTTGATTAATTTGATTATCAATGTCTGCATTTAACACAGACTCATTGGACAAAGTAACGCCTGTTCGAAATGAAATATAGAACTGTTATAGCACGACCTGTGAAAGATGCAGTCCTTCTTTCTCTCAAAAAATGCTGTACACCAAGTCTCGGCACCCGAATACAATAGCACAACATTTCAAATTTTCTTCTCACTAAGCACACAAAAATTTCATGATGATCCCAAAATTGACTTTCAATGTGGAAAATAAGGTACTGTATTAAAGTCTAAAAAATATCAAAAACATCCAAATGAGTAGCTCAGCAATCATATGTGCTATGAAGGATCTGGTTTAAAAATCAATACAGCCTCTAGTTCTTTCCTGTACAATAACTATTCTTAAAATCATGTAAGACCCCATCTTCCATAGAAGGCTTGATCTCGCTTTAACAACGTACATCTTAGATGTTGTGAAACTCGCAGTCGTTGCTTCAGGAACATGGTAAGACCCCATATATGGGATCATTGTTGTGCTCGGGGGCGTACATAACGATTTTGTTGGGGGGGGGGGGGGTGTTTAGCCAAAATGCGACCGACTGATGCACATACCCCCAGTACGAGTGACGCAGCCAGGAGCTGGCACCACAGGTGCGAGTTTTCTAGGGGCCATGTGCAGAGCGGATCTAGAAGCTGGGAATAGGGGGTGGGGTGGGGGTGGTTCCAAATCTAGGGCGCCATCCACAATCCCACCCCACAATGAATGTCAACAAAATACTGGCTATAACATTAAGCGTCCCAGTAGAACATAGACAGTATTGTATAATTAGGCCTATATAGTTGTTCGCCGATCGTTGTCTCGCCGGAAGGAGTTTTATTTAAGTTGACATAAAGTTTATGTCATATATGATGATTGTGTCTATAACACTGAGCAACCTGAGAAAATTTTGAAAAATTGAGTCAATATCCTAGCACTTGAGGTCATTGCTGGGAGAAAGTCTTGTGGACGAGAGGATCAGAAATGTGAGCCAATGGGACAGAATCTCGAGATCCGCCCCTGTCAATTCCGCCTGTTTTGCAAGAGTTGACATAACATTTGTATAGTCTGACGCCCCACGACCCGCACACCAGTATAACTGGGCAGTTCACTATAACCGTGAATATGATAGTGCTGAGACAGTATAAGAAAACAGAGGAATAGAAGAATGATGTTATAACGGAATCGAGCGCCGCAGGCGCGAAAAAATTTCAGATATGTAACCGAGCTTTTAATTTTTCGGGACTGGGCCTGAAAATTTTAGTCATTGTCATGGCAAATGGAACCAAATTCTCGCTAATGAGAGGATAAGAAATGAGACAGGATCTTGTGGCCCATCTGTCAATTCGCCTGTTTTGTAATTGTTTGTTTACCTCATTAATTCATTTAGTCTGAGACCGACTGCGGTGAGTATTTTTTTTAAGACCGACTTTTTTTTGCCATTGGGGAAAAATATTTCATACTCACAACAAAATAAGAGTGACAAACATTTTTTCAAACATGACAAGCAGACATGGTTATTTTATACTATAGTTTTGTGTGACGTATGCACGGATTCACGCATATATATATTATTTGGGATCTATTCTGGCATTGTTTGTTGAGTCGACTGCAGTGACTGCACTTATTTTGAAACCGACTAATTTTCTCCATGATAAGAGTGAAATACAACATTTTTTCAAACATGATAAGTTGACAAGGTTATTTTATACTAAAGTTTTCCGTGAGTAGCGTGACGTTTGCAGTGAGCACTTATTTTGATATCGACTGCTGTTATTTTGCGACCGACTGCACTGATTTTGCGACGGACTATTTTTTCCTGGGGGGTGTACCCCCCCCCCCCCCACACACACACCAAGATTTACGCCCCTGGTTGTGCTTACAGTTTAAACAAACAAGAATCAAATAGGGGGTTGGATGGCCGAATGTTTAAGGCGTTGTATCATAACGTCTGTCATTGAGTCAACTGGCGTGGTTTCTAACCTCGTGGGTTTTCTCTGGGTCCTACGGTTTCCTCCCACTGCTGAAGACCCCTACACACAAGCAAATTTTTGAAATAAAATTGCACCATATGTTAGTCCCGAAATGACCTAGTTTGTGTCGAGTGGACATTAAAGTAACACCTGTAACTAACCTGAACTGTCTGAAAATGTTGTTGTTGTTCCATCATCCACAATTTCTTGTGAACACTCGGGGGGGGGGGGGGGCGGATCCATGAATTTTTAAAGGGGTGGTACAAAGTTGATACAATAATTATTTAGTATATTTTCTGATGATTTTTCCACAGCAAAGTGGATAAAAAGTGCAATTTGTTACATGTTGCATTTAAACAGTTTAAGACATTCTAATTTTCGTTTCATATGTTTGCACAATAATTTTGATTTCTTAAGAAAAGAAAGAACCCTGAGAGGACCCAGCCAAATAAATGTGCTCTACATTTTTATACGCCCACATGGAAATTTGGACGTATAATGTCGAAAGTCCGTCTGTCGTCCGCAATTTCTTGTGAACACTGCTCTAACACGAAAATTTATCATCCAATTGTTTTAAAATAGATATATGTTGTTTACATTAGTGAGATGAAGAATCCTATTTAATTTCAATAATTTCTGTTAATTACTTCTAGAGTTATGGCTCCTATTTCACTTTGTTGCACCCTGTCAACGCTATAACATCCAAAGTTATCTGCCGATCTGTATGAAATTTAAATGTGTCATTTAGATTAGTAAAAAGAAGAATCCTATTGAATTTCATCAATTTCCGTTAATTAAATCTAGAGTTATGGCCCTTGTTTTACTTTATTGAACCTTGTGAACGCTCTAACGCCAAAAGTTATCATCCAATCTTTGTGAAATGTATATGCATTATTTAAATTAGTGAAACAAAGAATTAGTGAATTTCAGGAATTTCCGTTTATAACGTCTAGAATTATGGCCCTTGTTTCACTTTGTTGAACCTTAGTAAATTAGTGAAACGGAGAAGTCTATTGAATTTCAGAAATTTCCGTTAATTACTTCAAGAGTTATGGCCCTTGTTTCACTTTGTTGCACCTTGTGAACACTCTAACATCAAAAGTTATCTGCCGATTTGTATGAAATTTATATGCGCCATTTAAATTAATAAAATGAAGAATCCTATTGAATTTCATCAATTTCTGATTATTACTTCAAGAGTTTTGGCCCTTATTTTACTTTGTTCAACATTGTTAATGCTCGATTTATGAAAGTTATCATCCGATATGTATGAAATTTATATGCATCATTTAAATTTGTGAAACGGAGGCCTATTGAATTTCAGCAATTATTTCTAGAGTTATGGCCCTTGTTTCACTTTGTAAACTTTGTGGACGTTCGAATGACAAAAGTTTCATACATGTATGTATGAAATTTATATGAATTATTTAAATTAGTAAAACGAAAAAGCCTGTCAAATTTCAAAATTTTCTGTAAATTACTTCCAGGGTTAAGTCCCTTGAATCAGTTCGTAGAACCTTGTGAACCATCCATGGACAAAAATTATAACCTGATCTGTATGAAATTGTCTTGTAAATGCCCCCAATTACCTACAAAAGAATAAATATGCGACAACCCTTGTCGACCGTCAGACAATTTAGCTGCTGTGGGCGTATGTTTCGTTGTCTGGCGACCAATCTTTATAGAAGGATCTGTTTATTGTGCCTTTTGAGATTTTATATTGACAAATCAGCAGCAAGTTAATTGCATAATTTGTGTGTCAACCTGTCAAGCAAAGGTAGTATATGAGAATACAATTAAACTTCTTTGATGCTTGACATATGAATTTTATGTTTATATATACTCTTTAAAAAAAAGTTGGGGATATTGAAATGCAAATACCTATGCAGGTTGTGATATGATAAATAGTAATGGACACTTGACGTGCTTTGAGAGTATGTTCACAGATGAAGAACTTATCGCCCCAACAGGACCACTGAGCTATACGTGAGACACGCAAAAGCACCATACACGTGGGAGGGGTTCATTGTCGAATTGAACACTTCAAGGAAGGGTTGGTGAAAACTGCCGCGTGCTGGTTTATCCTATCAATGTTTGCTTTCCTGTCGATTCTTGCATAATATTTACTGTTTAGCGTATCTTTGCTTTAATGTGTAACGTTTTGCAATGAAACGTCTTCAATATGAAATAGAGCACACAAACGCGACAAAAAACTATTAATCCTAATCATTGGCTATTATTTAGAAAAATACGAAATGAAATAGTAACATTAATAAGGCAAGCTAAAAATAATTTTAAAGACAAATTAGAAAAAGAAATAAATAATAAAACCCTGCCTCCATATAAATGGAGAAAAAAAGCGAAATCTATTACAAATTTTGATAATGAAAAGGTAGCCATCTCGCCATTATTATATGAAAACTGTGTATACACACCCCCACTTAATAAGGCAAATATTCTTAACACTTATTTTGCCTCGATTTCAAAACTAAATGATGAACCCGACCTCCCAAACTTTGCCTCTCGCAGTAACAACGAATAACACATTTATTATAAGTGAACAAGAAGTAAAAGACCCGTTACTAATTCTTAACTGCTCAAAGCCTTCTGGCCCCGATAATATAAGTCCAGCTTTACTGAAAAAGTTAACTCCCTCAATCACCAGCCCTCACACCAAATTTTTTAATCTTTCATTAGAACTCCAATTATTACCTGATTTTTGAAAGACTTCACATATCATTGCAGCGAATAAAGGAAAGGGTGATCCGCATTACCCTGACA